GGTGACGATGCATTCAGTGCTGGGGCAACATGGGCGGTGACATCGGCATATCGACGAGCGTCTCCCGGTCCCCTCTGCGCACCCATGCTCAGCTATGGTATATACATCTATGCTATATATATCCATGCTATATACATCTATGCTATATACACCTGTATGTCCCTGGCTTGGATGAATCCAGTCATCCTCCCTCCCTGCCTTTGTTCAGGGCCACTGCGTCTCGGAGGATCAGTCTGCCTGAACGCCGACGATGGCAACGAAATAATCATCAGATTTTACAAGTCAGGTGTTGGCCGGGTGGGGCATTGAACTAATTTCGTTAGAGTAGGGTTACATTTTCCTACCCAGTAACTGGTTCACACGTGATCTTGAACGCGAAAGTGTCGTGTGGGGAACAACACGCGCTGCCTACAACACCCGACTCGTATTGCAAGATGGAAATGCTGAACGCCTCCCATCACCCATTGTTTGGAAAGCATATACTCGCTCCCTTTGCCCAATCGAGGAGTGCCTGAGCGGAGAAGTGGGGGCGCAGCTGAGTGTTCAATATTTTTGAGCATGGCTGACCCGTCGAAGGAAAAGCCATGGCGTGCTGACCCGCTGTCCCGGCGCAAGTCGACCGCGCCTAATACTACCAACGCTGCCTCAGGCCCGGCATCGACCACACCAAGTGGCACACCCAAGAGCAGCAAGACGGGTGTCCGCTTCTCTCTATCGCGAAACAGTTTGTCTCAGGAAAAGATGAAATCTACAAAGACTACGGCGGTGAGCCAAAGCCAATTCCCCTTAACAGGTGTCGATGCCAACGTGGATCCGGAAGCCAATGAATGTAGCCGAGCGACGTCCTTACGCGGGCCATTGGCAGGTGCAGGTCAGCGGACACGCCCACAGAGTATCTCTGGAATTCCGGACTCGCCTTCCGGAAGGGGCATGCACCACAAGATGAGTGGTCCTGGCTTCAAGATTCCCGGTGCTCCATCCGCAAAGGGCGGCCTGCCTCGCCCGGCAACTTCGACCAATATTTCTGTCGGTAGCACTGCCATGAGACCACCAACTGCCCTTCCGCCTGGGTCTCCACGAAGCAAGGCGGCGCAGGCCAAGTTACAAAGTGCAAGCGCATCTGCCGTGCGTCGACCTCGGCTCTCGCTTATCCCGTCAGTCTCTGGACACTCCTTCGACGTCAAGAAATCGGGAGTGGGCCCCGGCACGACCCCTTTTTCTTCCGTCACCAGCTCGGATGCCGACCAAAGTCGTGAGATTGAGAGTGGCATTATTGTGGCGGGCGATGCGTCTCCATCTGAGACTCCTGGCTTGCGCTCCAAGCCGCTCAGCCATCGCAGAGCAGAGTCGTTGCTTGGTCCTACAGGCGCGTCCGGCTCACGCATTGGCCGCAATGTGACAAGACGAAGACCTTCTTTGGGTGTCGTTGATCGAAATTTACAACCTGCTGCTCTTTCGCCTTCAAGCGCGGGCAAACAAAAGGCGCAAGCCACAAGTGCGGCTGGAAAGCGAAGTGGCGAAACGAACAGTCCGCATCGTGCGAAACGAGCTGCTACAGCTGTACGCAGCAATTCCCCAACGACGCCGAAGAAAGAGCCCCCAGTCAGAGCGAGTCATCTGGCCCCTCCCACTAAAAGTGCCTCGCAGCGTCCGCGGCGCTCACTCGGCAACTTCTCCTCTTCGACTTCCGTCCGCACTCCGCTCTCGTCGTCCTTGCTGCGACCACCGACGAAGCTTGTGCAGCAGCAGGCACGCCAACTGTCTGCCGAAATTGACGCAGAGCTTATGGAGAACCTGAAGTCCATGGCCAGCAAAGCTGGTATTTCATTGCAGAGTTTGGAGCAGCTGGTGAAGGAGGGGGAAGGAGTGACAGGCGAGAGCAGTACCGCAAAAGCACCAGGTGCAACATTTACCTTTGAAGTTGCCAAGCACTCGAAGCTCCGAGTGTACGAGCCTAGCGTAAGCAGCGCAGAGGGCCCAACGAAACAAAGCAGTCAGAAGCCCCTGCAGGACCAAAGCTTCGCTTCCGACATCGACGCGTGTACCAGCGCGGCAGAGGCCGACGTAGATGCGAGCTACAGTCATCTTGTGCCATCGCCGCCTGCGCAGCGCATGACTGGCGAGATTGACGAATCTCTGAAGCGCCGAGATCCCTCGATGACAGCGTCGGACATGCGCAAGAGTAGAGCGGCGCTGGCTTCGCCGCGTTTCAGCGATCTTGCAGAGCTCAGGAACGACGGAGACGGCGAGCAAGATGACAGTCTGCTGCAGGCTATCCAAGCGCACTCAAACTATCACGATGGCGACGCATCGGTTTTGCTGCCAGCGCCAGCACCCTCTTCGAGCATCCTGACCGCGTTGCCAAAGCCTTCGCCGCGAATAAAGCGAGGCATCACCTCGAAGTGCGCACTACGAGAGAGCATTGGCTTGGAAGCGGCATTCGAGAGCATGGAGCTCTCCCCGCCAGACCAGCGCTTTGGGGATCCTGACGCACTACTCACGAATGACCTGGATGCTTTGGAGCTTGACGAGCTGCACGCGCAGGACAGCAAGGCGCATGGGCATGGTTCTGGGCTCGACTCGTGCGCTGCCGATCCGTCGGCAGGCGCGCGGAAGGAAGAACGTGCCGAAACAACTGCGATGGAGGCCAGAATCCGAGAACTGGAAGCGCAGCTCGCTGAGGAGCGGCAGCTGCGGGAGGAGGCTGAGGCGCAACGGAGCGTACAAGTCGCGGTATCGGAGGATGCGCAGGCGCAGCTAGCGGGTGTGCAAGATGCGCTGGAAGCTGAGCGCCACAAGCGCGAGGAGGAGGATGCAATTCGCGAGGTACAGCGTCAGAATCACGAAGAGGAGCGCTCGGCGATGGCGGCGGAACTGGCTGGTGCCAAGAACGAGGACAAGGTGCGAGCGGCGAGGTATGATGCTGCAAGAGCCGATGCCAGGCGCAGGTTTCAAGAGATTTCTAGAGCGGCTGCTGCTGAATATCAGGAAACGGTTATACGCGCTGATCTGGTGAGCATCGTTTGAGCATGATAGAGTCCTTGCAAGATATTCCTGACGGCTTCAATTCGCACACCCGGCAGTGCCTTTTCCTCAAAGCGCAGTGCTCAATGTGGGAGCGCAGTCTCGGCGGCGTGCAATAATTGCATTCCAACGCTACACCGCCGTGTCAGATTTGATTCACTATACCCCGCTCTCATTTCATTTCTCCAGTTAATTTATCAATTGCCTAAATGTGATGCTCTGCGGTGGAAGCGGCGAGTCCCGAATCAGCCGCTCTCAGACTCACATCCGGAAGCCTTGCCCAGAAGACTCACGATGCGTGGGTCCTTGATCCTCCTCTCCTTTGGAATCTCGTGGGTATAATTATGTTGCGTATACCCTTGCATGACAAGCAAACTGCCATTCCCTAGTATTATCTTCTTGTGCTGGCTGTCGCTGTCGTAGGAACTTTTCAGCTTCGGACTCGGCGTATCTGCGGGTCCTCTCGCAGACAGAGTAGCCTGTTTCGATCCGCGTGGCTTTTTGCGCTCCAGGATGAACGTTCTTGCTGCGCCAAGCGAGACCGTGACGATGACTTTATTTTCCACTAATCCGTCACGCTCGCATGATAAGTACTCAACTCAGCTTGTATTTCAGATGTCGCGCCAACTCACGGTTATCGTGGTGCTTTCCTAAATGAATAGCGCCGCTCTGATAACGATTCAGCATACAATGGTTAAAGCCCACTTCATTACCGAGGCAGTCCTCGTTGGAAAGTCGATCTGCGATCTCCTGCAGCAGTCGCGGGAAAGGTGAGTGAATCTCTACGGGATGACCGCTGTATTTGAGAGTCAATATCGGAGAAGTGCTGTACGCTGCTATCTCCCGTGACTGAGTGATATCGCGGCCGTAGACTTTGAGCTTAGGCCGGTACCCTGTGCTCCGTTGAAAGTGAAGGCAAATCAGCCGATGCAGATGTGGTCGATATGGGGGCACTACGGGGTATCCGGCGTTACGAACATTCGGAAAGCTCATTGAGTTCCTTCAACCAGGCGTTGGCCGTCTTGCTGTCCACCCAGTTGGCCTTGTAGAACACCTCCGCGTCTGCAAGTTCTTTTAAGCGGTACTTTTCGAACCACTCTGACTTGGTCAACTGTTCCATGCGAGGCTGAGCCCTTGGTGCGATGAGTTGCTCGCCTTGAGATTTATCTCCTTGAGGCTTGGGCTGAGACGCTGGTAGTTTGAAGGCATCCGTTACTCTGTCTGGCGAAGGCGACGCTTCGGACCGGACTCTACGCGAACGCTTTGCCGGACGCTCGGCCATGGTTGGATGATGTTTTTTAGGAAATCTGAGCCGACTATGATTAAATTTCTATCTTTCTCGTCCATCTGGATGGTCGACGTTGGTACCAGATGCGCATGCAACGGATAAATTCCCCAGCGTGACCGATGACCTGCGACTTTGTATGCTCCCAGCGTCCCAGCTGTCTGAAGATAGTGCCAAATCGAGTTGTCACTGGCATTGCGGTGCGCAATGCTTATGTCATCAACTCGTATTGAGGAAAATGCAAAGGACCACCCGCAACGAGGTGAGGAGATTTTGCTAGTTGCCTTGCGACCATGGACCGTGATGGTGCATGCTGCCTCCCTTCGGTCACAATTCTGGCTCCACGAGGTTCAAGCTTATGCATGAATTTGCTACGAAAAAGTCAATTCGTCAGAGATTATCATTTCCGATCATGTCCGGTGCGGCACCGTCATTGCAAGGGCTCACGTTGGATGAAGACGCAAATACACCCTCGGCTTCCGCCAGCCAGCCCGTCGATACTGCACAGGATGGCAACGGCAACGCTCATGGTCATATAAGCAACACGGTCCATGTGAAAGGAAAGCCAAAAGCGGGAGGGGGTGGACGAGGAATTGGCGGTCGCCAAGAGGATAGCCCGGATACGCAATTGTCGAAAGCGCTTTCGTACATTTTGCGACATGGCGCCGCCTCTGAAGGGTTGAAGGTCCTGCCTGACGGTTACGTCGAGCTGGAAAAGGTGCTTACGCGGCCGAAGATTTCAAAAATCAAGATGCCTCCCCGCTCGAAGGAGAGGCTTGGTAATGGTGGTGGCGGTGGCGACGACGAGGAGCTAGAGGCGCGCGATGCTACTCCCGCCCAAGCTGCAGGAGGCAGAGAAGCAGTGCAGGCGAGCAGCCGTGCGCCAGACGTGCAGGATGTGCTGGAATGTGTCGACTCGAATGTGAAGAAGCGCTTCCAAGTCAGGCAAGATGCTGAAATGAACGGAGGAAAGTGGTGGATTCGCGCGGTGCAAGGTCATTCCATGAAGGACGTCGTCGATTTGGATCATGTACCACTTACGCTGTCCAACCTCGCCGAACATCTCTCAGCCTCCTCTTCTTCCAACTCCTTGGAAACTCCATCGACCACACACCCGACGTACACGCTTGTGCATGGCACGACGCCGATAGCGTTCACCCAAATCCTTGCGACGGGCGGACTGCTGAGCATGTCGCGCAACCACATCCACCTCGCCAAGGGCATACCCGGTGCAGAAGGCGTAATCAGTGGGATGCGCACAAGCAGCAAGGTCCGTATCTTTGTGAATGTCGAGAAGGCGCTAAAGGATGGAGTGCAATTCGGCGTCGCAAGCAATGGCGCTGTGTTGACGCCGGGTGTCCCTTATACGCCGCCGTCGCCACCATCTTCGAATACAGCAGAAGGGAGGTCCGGCGCACATGCCGGCGCTGCAGCGCCCTCATCGCCAGCATCGACAGCGGCAGCAGTGGAGCAAGCCCTAGCCCCGACACCAAACGCAGCCCCTTCCGACACTCCAAACCAGCGCAAGTACCCACCGCGCAAACCGCGGCCACCGCAGGCGAGCAAGTCACGCGCCAAGGCTGCCAGCGCGCTGTCCTCTTCTGGGCTGCTGCCGCTCAAGTACTTTGCGCGCGTCGAAGATGACAAGGGTGGCATCCTCTGCCTTCCTCATTCTTTCTCATCTGATGAAGGGCGCGCAGAGTAGTCTGTAGCGGGAATGTTCGGTGAGCAAGGCGTGCAGGAGGAGCGGCTGACATACGGGACGGATGAGTTCCCTGGCAAGGAGATTTTTAATATGTGTCGAAATACAGCCTTGTTTGCTTCTGCTGTAGGGACTTCTATCATTTTAGTGGCCTATATCTGGCGCGAATACCATTTACGGTCCGTCGCCTCCACATCACATCCTGCTCTACTCTAATATTATGCTTTCCGACCTAGAGTTCAGTCTATTGTTGAGCCTGCTGCTGCTGTTTGAGCTGCGCTTCCTTGAGTTTGCGGATATGCGCATTGACCCAGTATCGTGGCTCGTCGCCAAGCAGCAGCTCGGCCGGCAGGCACGCCGCGCCAGATATGGTACCAAGGCACTGCGCGCTGCTGCAGTTGCATACGAAGGGTTGTGACATAGACCATTCTGTGCTGGGGTAGACTGAAAGCGGGTGATAAAAGTGGGAGGAAGGCGATGAGCTCGGTAGCAGCTAATGCAACGAATGTGAACGACGTACAGAAAGTTAGAGTGTCTCCCTTCTTGATGTTCTTCCATGCCTTGGCCTTCCAGTCACTTGGGTTCGGCCCGCCGCTGCTGACGTCAAACACGACGGTTGGATCGCACGAGTGGTTGCAGTACAGAAGGCTGGCATAATATTTGTAACCATCAGCAATATCCGCGAGTGCATGTGTCCCGACAGTCCCCATTGCACACTCACTCGCTGTTCAGCTCGACATGTCGATCTTCGGCCACCTGGACAGTCGAGTACCGGATCAGCTTGGACTCGCGGGCAGCGTCCATGCTCGCGATCGTCTCGCCCTTAGCAAAGTCGCGCAGTGCAGTGAGCGACGAGTTGTACGAGCCCGGCTGGAACTGCACGTAGAAAAGGCCCGGGTGCGTGGGGACGTACGACTGCGACAATGCGGTCGGCTCGCCGTTGGACATGTGTCCGGCGTAGGCGGCGGTTGAGGAGGGGGATGTCGCTGCTGTCGCCATGGTTGCGTGCGAGATATGGGGGCGGCTACAGTTTCGGAAAGTCGCTGAGGGAACTTAGGCGCACCAGACGTCGTACGAAGCAGGGGGGAGGAGGGAAAAAGCACTAGACAAAGGCTCTATGTGCGTGGGTGCATGTCACTGCCCAAGATGACGCGGAGAGTAAGCGGAGACGAAGAAAATACATGTACAGAAGATGGAGTTGGCATGATTACCCATGGCACAGTGGGACGTTACGTTCGAGCGGAATGAGAAGCCACAGTATACCTTCACACACGACACACGACCCCACTGCAAGTCCCGAGCTGCACTACACTGCATTGGGCTGGGCTAGGCTAGCTGCAGGCGGGAGTGTTCCTCTTACAAACGTCTTTTGGTCACCAACGCCGGTTCCTCTCCAGCTCCTCGGTCGGATGTGTCGCACGGACGCTCGATCGGCCACTTGTCGGCTAGAATGCCCGACGGTTGCAACCACGTGGTGACTACGTGGCTAACTCCTAAACGGGTGGACAGTTGTAGTCGCAACCCTAAAATACCCACAAAGCTTGATTTTGCTCGCCAGCAACCCTAATGTATGTTGGGCGTTCAGGCTCCAAGCACGCTTGATCTTGGACGCAAGGTCGTGACCTGGTCCAGATGCGAATATATATATATATATACCCCCATATCACGTTCTTTCATTTCCCTCCTGTGACGTTGAGCGCCCTCGCCACGCTGCTCAAGTGCAGATACCCTGAACAAACGGACAATAGGACTCTTACTGTGCTGCAGCCACATCGGGTGAATGGCCAGTCGCGTCGCAGCCCCAGCAGTCAGGCGACCGCCGCGATCCAGCCTCCAGCGTCTGCTCATCCTCCATTCTTATTCTTCAATTGCCGGCAGCGCGAAAATCCTGCATCTTTCGCCGAAAAACCCGGCTGATTCACTTGTGAAAGAAAAATACTCACGACAGCTTGTATCTCTTGCGCTCCACCGTCGCCCCCTCGCAACAATGGCCGCCTCGACCTCGCTCCCGTCCAGTTGGACGCCGCCGGGTCCGACCGAGATTCCGGCGCCAGCTCGTCCCGCGATCGAGGACCGACACACGCTGTCCAACATCGCACAGATCTACAGCACCCACCTCCACGTCGACTGGCTCATCGATTGGGACGGAAAGCGCATCGAGGGGAGCGTTGAGCACGAGCTGCGCGTCGCACATGCCGCCATCGAGCACGTCGTGCTGGATACGTCTTATCTCGATATCAGGCGCGTGGAGATCGACGGTAAAGAAGTCAAAGGGTGGAAGAAGGACGCCCGCAAGGGCATGCTTGGCGAAGCGCTGCATGTTCCCCTTCCGAAGGCTATGAAGCTGGGCGAAACATGCAAGCTGAAGATCGACTACGCTACTACCGAGGAGTGCACTGCCTTGGGTTGGCTGACCAAAGAGTGATTCCCGCCTCTGGATGAGAGAATCACAGCTCCTCGCTCTACGCTGACATCTCATCTTGGAAATACATTCACAGACAAACAGCAGCAAAGACAGCGCCGTTCCTCTACTCGCAATGCCAGGCCATCCATGCACGCAGCATGCTCCCCTGCTTCGACTCGCCAGCACGCAAGGTGACGTACACCTCGCGTGTGCGCAGCCGCATCCCGGTCCTCATGAGCGCTTTGCCCACGCACGCGGCGCCCGGCGATCCTTTTCCATCGGGAGATGGTGAGAAGGAGTACACATTCGAGCAACGCATTGGTATCCCCACGTACCTCATCGCCGTCGTGGGCGGCGTGCTCGACTTCCGCGCGCTCGGCCCCCGCACAGGCATCTACGCCGAAGCGCCCGTCGTAGAGAACGCCAAGTGGGAATTCGAGCGCGACGCTGAGCACTTTTTGCAGGCGGCCGAGAAAATCGTCAGTCCGTATTCGTGGACACGGTAGTGAGTGGATCTGGCCCGCGCGTCAACGGACGCGGATGATTGACACTCTCGCGGGCTTCTTGCAGCGACTCGGTTGTACTACCCCCTTCGTTCCCGTACGGCGGAATGGAGAACGCAAACATGACGACGCTGACGCCAGCGCTCGTCTGCGGCGATCGGTCGCTGACGGACGTGCTGGCACACGAGCTGATGCACAGTTGGTCTGGCAACCTCACATCCTGCGCCAACTGGTCTTCCTTCTGGCTCAACGAGGGCTGGACCGTCTATCTCGAGCGACTCGTTCTGCAGGAGGTGCACGGCGGCGCGCAGAGCAAGGAGGGCCCTGCGGCGCGCGGGTTCAGCTACATCATCGGCGCCAAGGCGCTCAAGGACGCGCTTGAGCAGTTCGCAGGGGAGCCGCGCTTCCAGCGGCTCGTGCCTGTCTTCAAAGGCGTCGAAGACCCTGTGAGTAATCAAAGAGTGTACAAACACTGCAAGTCAGTCTTATTCAATCTGAACGATGATTCAACCAGGACGACGCTTTCTCCTCGGTCCCGTACGAGAAGGGCTCCAACTTCCTCTTGCACATTGAGCGCACGGTCGGAGGCCTGGATGTATTCATGCCGTACGTCAAAGCCTATTTTGCCACCTTTTTCGTAAGTGGCAATCGCGATCAGCAGCCGGGTCTGCCTGCCCCCGCTGACGCATTCTCCTATCGCACACAGGACCGTTCGGTGACTACGGAAGAGTGGCGTGCCCACCTGTACGCATTCTACGCAGGCTCGCCCGAGATTACCAAGAAACTCGACAACATCCAGTGGGATGCATGGTTGTACGGCGAAGGCGTCGACCTCCCCGTCGACATGACGAAGGATTACGATAGCTCGCTCGCCGAGGCCGCCTTTGCGCTCGCCCAGCGCTGGGAAGCCGTCATCACCGGCGCCGCGAACAACAAGGCTGGAGCTGCTACGGCTTTCGGTCCTGTGGACATCCAGGGCTGGAACGCCAACCAGATTGTCGTCTTTCTCGAGAAGCTCCACTCGGGTCCGCAGGTGCCACCTACGGTCGTCACGCAGCTCGATGATGCGTACGGCTTCTCGAAAGCGACGAACGGGGAGGTGCTGCTACGCTTCTTTGAAGTCGCGCTCGAGGTCAAGTCCGATGACGACAGGTACGCCAGGCAAGCGGCCGAGTGGGTCAAAGGCCAAGGTAGGATGAAGTTCTGCCGCACCGTCTATCGCGCACTGCACAAGATTGAGCCTGAACTTGCTAAGAAGACGTTCGTCGAGAACAAAGGTTTCTACCACCCTATCGCCGCAGCTCAAATAGAAAAGGTGAGTTTGCAGTTATTCTTCCCCTCTTTTGGTTGGCGTGTAAGGAGGCAACCTGGTGACCTCCTCCCGCACATCACTTGCACTTTCCGTTTCAGGATCTCGGACTCATGTAACTTAAGCACATCCCTCCCATTCCTTTTCTCCTTTCTCTGCTCTTTGTGCAGGATCTGGCGATCAACCATGTAGATTCCCGACACGCTGCGGCCACTTCGGGCTCACTACAGTATACAATGTCGAATTTGGCTGCGGAAACACGTGAGCTGGGTTTCACAAGTAGGCGAAACATCATCGCCGTCATTGGGTCGACGGGGACGGGTAAGTCACAGCTCGCCGTCGAGCTTGCGCGCGCCATTGAACGCAAACACGCCGAGTATGCTGGCGCGGATGTCATCTCCGCGGACAGCATGCAGGTATATAAGGGCTTGGATATCATTACAAACAAGGTCACCCCGAAGGAGATGCAGGGAATTAAGCATCATCTGATTGATTTCTTCCAGCCCGGGCAGGAATACGCGGTCGGCTCGTTTCATGACGACACACACCGAATCGTAAGCATAAAGCATGCCTCCACTTTGCTCCAACGTCTTTCACTGATAGCCATCTCGATCCAAACAGATTCAAGAGCTCTCTCGCCGAAAGCCGGCCCCGTCATTGCCCATCATCGCTGGCGGCACGACGTACTACATCCAGCACCTTCTGTTTCCTGGCCGCCTCTTGTCAGCAAGCGCAGGTGCCAGTAGTGATGACGGCGGCGGCAAGGACGTCGCCGCAAGGACAGGAAGACGGGGAGTTTACCCTCCAGAGGTCCAAGAAACGCTTGACAAGTTCTCGCCGGAAGAAAAGCAATTGTGGGCATTGATCCAAGAGGACGATAACGCTGGCGAGCTGCTCAAGCCCGAGGAGCTCGAGGACCCGCGAGCTTTGTGGGATCTGCTGCACAAAGTCGACCCTCTCATGGCACGGCGATGGCACTTCAAAGACACTCGCAAAGTCCTGCGCAGCCTTCGCGTGCTGCAGACCAGCGGCAAATGCCACTCGCAGTGGATCACGGAGCAGGACGCGAGCGAGAAGGCAACAAGTGCTGGCGCCATCGACCTGGAAGAGGGGCCATGGCGGATTCTCTTGTTTTGGGTCTGGCGAGATCCGCAAAGCCTGAGCACCAGCTTGAATGCTCGCATAAAAACGATGATCCAGCGAGGTCTGCTCGACGAAATCCGAGAACTACGCGCGATCGTCAAGGAGAAGCAAGGATGCGATCCAGCCAAGGTGGACTACACGCGTGGCATCTTTCAGGCGATAGGTTATAAGGAGTTTGACGCTTATTTGACGTACCAGGAAGAGCATGGCGTGGATAGCACGGACAACGAGACGGGACAGAAGCTTTTCGAACAAGGCATCGAGGACATGGAGATAGCAACGCGGCAGTACGCCAAGAAGCAAGTGTCTTGGATACGCAACAAGCTGGCAGCCGAGATACGAAGAGTGCGAGAGCTAGACAATCGTCTGGGAAGAGCGTCTACCGTGGATGTCTATCTTCTGGACGCAACGGGTGAGTGGGATGTTCTCCGAACATAGATCGGAACATGGCTGATTCGTCACTTTTGCTAGACGACTGGGAAAATTGTGTGGCGCGGCCGGCAAAAGAGATCCTTGAAGGTGAGAATCTGCTATGAACGTTTGGAATGGACACGGGACGCTAAGAAAAGACGTGGTCACGCAGCATGGCTATCCAAACTGGAGCTTCCTGATCCGTTGACATTGAGCCCAGTAGCAGCCGAGCGCCTCGCCCCAATGCTCAGTCCATCTCCGGCAAGTGCAGGCAATGCTGGGACACTCGAGAAGAACGAGCTTCGCAAATGCGAATTATGTTCTTCGCTCATGACGGACGCGCCAGTGTGGATCCGAGTGGCGGAGTGGGATCAACATCGTCAAGGCAAAGCGCATCGACGCGCTGCCAAGGTACAGAACAAAGACCAGGTCATCGAGCGCGCGAAAGCAGAGGGATGGGCACGGAAGATGGCGCGACAGCAACACCGGCAACCTTCGGACTCTAGAGATAGTAGTGACTTTGTATAACACATGTAGTGTAATGCAAAGGTTAAGGATGAGTAGTGCAGATAGATTTACATGGCCTGTGTCGCGTCAATTTCTATCGCGGGTACGATGCTCGCCATAAACTTGAGGAAGATGATGAGATATTGATCGACTCTTAGTCCTTCGACTTCTCCATCGTCACCTTCGCCCTCGACTGCGACTGGTGTCGATGCACCATCGCCAGCGCTGCCGCCACTATCCTTATCCTTGCCTGCAATTTCACCGGCTTTGCTACCAGTGACTTTTCGTACAGCGCCACCGAGGCCCCAACCCTTTTTCTTGTCCTTCTTCGCTTTCCGCTGCACCTCGACGATGCTCACATTCATGCGCTCGATGACTTTCTTCATAACGTTCGCATGCTTGCACGGGTGAATGCTTGCCGTGCTCATCGTCGCGCTATGTGGGAACGGCTCGATAGTCACCGTCTTTTGCGCATAGTCCGATGATACGTCCTCGAAGATCTGTGCCGGCTTGAGCGGGCGCCCGTGCTCGTCGTACCCGACGAGCCACATGCGCGGTGTCTGGTAGTACTTGTCGTAAGTGATGAGACAGTCGTAGGTACGAACACTCAGTAGATTCGCCAAGCCTGCCCCTCCGTTGTCCCTTCCAGGCACAGCGGGAAGTGGTTTGGAGCCAGAAGTGGGTGGAATAACTGTTTCTCTTGAAGCAGATGCAGCTGCTGGGTCGTCAGCCTCTTCCACGCCTGCTCCCATACCCCCGAGATCTTCGTCATCCTCATCGGGAATGTCCAGAATATCCCCTACAATTTCGTCTTCGCCTGCCAGTCCCGGCTCTCCGTCCGCATGGTTGACCGTGATGCCGCTTATCCGGTTAGCCAAATCATCCTCTTCCCCTGCAGTCAGTGCAGTGGCAGGAGCGCTGGTATCGTCATCGGGGATATCCACGATATCTTGGAGCCCAGATCCGGAGCGACCTCCATCGCCGTCAACACGGGTCCCAAGCCACTCGTCGTCCTTGCCGCCAAGCTCGCCGCTCTCCATGAAGTACTCTTCGTCCTCTTCGCCTGCAGCACCTCTTGCCTCGCTTGAGGTGCATTGATTGGCTTTGGATTTCTTTCCAACCGCTGCGCTCTCCATTTGACTGACGCGCCGCAGACAAGGAACGCCACGGGAGATGAGATACTGCTTATCGGAAGGCAGAAAGTCGCGCAGCTTGGAGTTGTCGCCGACAGCCCACGACCATGTTGGAAATTTGTATGTCAAAAAGTCACCAGCCGCGACGAATTCCTCTAGAAGGGCAGAGGAAGGCGATGAATCCATGGTGCAGATTGGGAGTTAGGAATGCGTCGCGGGCAAGCTGAAGTGTCGAGCCGATGCTCACCAGGAGTGATTCGACCATGCTCTTTGAACTTGCTCTCGCGCAGCACTGGGCTGAGGTAGTCTCTGACTGCCCAAAAGTGGGTCTGAAGAGCACAGCAATGATCAGACGGACGAAGATGGAAGGCGCTGTTCTTACGATCGAAAAGCTCACCTGTAGCGCATTCATGTCGATCCGTTAAAGCACTTTCAGCTGGAAGGTGCGGTGGGCAGTGGCCCCGCGAGCGAAGGTGGCCGTGTCACACCGCAGTCTGTACACCCCGCTTGAAGATGCGTCCTGTCGGTGCCCTGGCACGTCCGAGTTTGTATCTATGCTGGAGTCGTTGACCAAGTCACACGGTCCACGAGCCACGACGACATGAAGACATAATGACCATTCACGGATCGTGACCCCATGCGTCGACACTACCACTGGTGACGGACGTCACCAGTGGTATTGGGGGCGGAACCTTGCGCACTGTGGAGCGCGCAACCATCCCGCTCCACACGAAACGCAGCTTTACCTCCTATAGACATGTGCTCACAGGCCTACAGCAGGTCCACTTTTTCTTGTTTGATCCCTTATGCCACGGCTTCCCATACGGTTCTTTATGAAGAGTGTCGAAGGCTCCTAGGACCTGCTTACTTGGCATCATGCCGCTCCCCACAACCCGGCTGCTCGTATTTATGCTAGCCCTGGTGGTGGTGCTGTACTTCTGGCTGCGAGTAGCCGTGAAAGACACGGGCGTACAGGCGTATCTGGAGGCTAAGGCTGGCCTGCATATAGGTTCCGACGTGGGCGGTTCTCCATCCGGGCAGCAGTCAAAATCAATCAGCCGCAGGGTCGTAGCGGTCGCTGACCTGCACGGTGACTTGGGCGTGAGTTGAGGAGCACATAAGCCCAGCTTTCCCACATCGACTTATCTTGCTAAGCAATTCTGACTCTTGCTCCCTGGCTCGCCCTCGAAAGCACGCACACAATGTACTTCAAATGACCAAACTGATCGACTCAGACTTCCACTGGATTGGCGGTCACGATGTACTTGTATCTACAGGCGACATTGTGGACCGTGGCGACGATACCATCGCCCTTTATCGAATGTTCGACCGTTTGCGCACCGAAGCGGCTGCGACCGGTGGAGAAGTGCTTAACTGCCTCGGCAACCACGAGATCATGAACAGCCTCGGCGATTGGCGCTATGTCACTCGCGGTGATGTGGACAGCTTTGGCGGCGTTCAGCAGCGCCGCAAAGCCATGAGCTCGGACGGTTGGATCGGCCAGTCATGGCTGGCCAACTTTAACATCACGCACACGGTGCCCCTCCTACCGCTGCACCTGGTCCCTTCCAGTGCGAACAATCGTGGTGCCGCAGGAGGAAGAGTTGCGGCGTATACGGTTCCGCGGGCATCCTTTGTCCACGGCGGCATCACTCCAGCTTATGCAAGGCGTGGCGCCGCTGCGATCAACCGCATCGGTCACAGCTTGCTTCAGCGTGCTCTCGCGGAAGAAATTCCAAACGGGCAACCGCCACATGACACGCCTACGGAAGAGCTGGAACTCTACGGCTCAGAAGGGCCCCTTTGGTATCGCGGTTATGCGAATCAGGAGGACGAAGCACAAATATGTGCGGAAGCCGAGCGAGCCGCGTCCGCGCTCGGAGTCCGTCATCTCGTTATGGGGCATACACCTCATCTAGAAGGGTTTGTCGTGCGCTGCGAAGGAAAAGTCCTTCTCATCGACACTGGCATCAGCAAAGCATACGGTGGTGAACAGAGTGCTTTGGTACTCGAGACGGAGCTCAAATACCTCAGCGAGGGGCATGATGGCGTCTCAAACAAGTGGAAGGAGACGCAGACGCTCACTGCGCTGTATAAAGGTCGGAGGCCGAAAGTTATTCACACCGTGTCCAGAGAGGTGTACTTGTATTAGGACATGCTTCCAACTTTGGTATCATTGTTTATTTCATTCGATAGATGTCTTTCGCTACACGGTTCGAGGAGAGACTGAATCCAAGAAAGCGAGCTTCGCGATGCGAAGGAAGAATAACATGAAGCGCCAATCAAGCCACTAATGGCGTTTGAAAGGATTGTGAATTCGTGACTTGCGTTTGCCGCCTGGCGAATCGCCAACGTGTCCGTCTTCGTCAACGACCGACGCAGTAGGTGTTGCTGCAGATGTCGCCAATGCGGAAGGAATCCGGAACCCTTGCCCACCGGCGGTAGCAGGGGTCGTGGGTGCTGTCAGGCTGTTGAAGATTGGTTGCCCATCAGAGTTGAAGGCTGGCATAGCGGGCACGGGCGGTATGCCGTCGATGCCGCTGGCAGCGCAGGCCACCTCTGAACCCTCGTACATGCCATCATCAGCGCTGGATCCATACAAGCTCTTGCGCCTTCCCTTGCCGGTGACAAAGTTAGCTGCGCTTTTGGGAATGCCGAAGGCCGTCTTGCCGACAAACATGCCAGCCCCTGCGACACCCTTGACACCTGCGCCGCCTACTTTGGCCACGCCGCCGATACCCGATGTCATGGTCCGTGCAATACTGGTGCCTTTGCGTTCGCGATGCGTGACAAAGTCCGGCTTAAAAACCAGCTTGATTGTGATGGTCGGGTTGTTCTCGCCTGCGCCTTTGCCGGTCAAGTTGAGCGTGGTCTCAGTTTGCTCGAATGGCTCAAGGGACGCGAGGTCCAGCCGTGCACTGCCGAGATGGTCTGCAGTGCCAACTTGATCCCAGTCGTACACCTCGATGATGGCTTCGGCACTGACACGGGAAGCAACAGGCGCTTCGCCAATATCTTCGTGGAAGTCCGGGTTGAGGGTTTTCTTGATCGTTTTGGTCCTGGCTTTGCGCTCGCCGTTGAGCTTGAAGACGACATAGGGATCGGAACTCTTGCCCCTGTCTGCTGCGCGCAGATTCCTCGCGTTGACGACTTCGAGGCGGAGATAACCCTGGTTATTGACGCTCTCGACCGGCTCGATCTTGATGTTGACGGGAATGTACTTGCAAACCATGGTGATCGTGCTGACCTCGTTGCCCTGGAGATGCTGCAGCTTGAATTCCGCCGGCTTGTTCAGGGCCTTCTCGAGGATGTCCTTCGTATTTGCCTGGAACTCGGCAAATACATCATCGTCTGTATCTCCTTTACCTTGGCGAAGCTTCAGCCACATGCGCGACCAGTCGAGCTCCTTGATGACGCCCTCGCCAACTTCGTCCCAAGTCGGATGCTCGGTACGACCGGGCTCGGTGGTGTACGTCGGCCAATAGCCGTCTTCGAACAGAACCTCCAAGCGGGAGTTCTTTCGATGAACGTTGCCAGAGAGCAGATTAAACACGATGATGCCAGATTCTGGGAGCGTCGCGAAAGCAAAGCAACAAAAAGGGATATGAAGGAAGGAAGTAAGCCTATTCAATCCGCAGATTGGAATGTAACACTTGCAGGCACTTACGATTCCTAAGCAAGCTCTCAGGGGCCATATCAACGCCCTCGTCCTTTGTGTTCCGGTGCGTGCTGGCCGTGCGCGTGGTCTCGACGCTAGCGAGCGAGTCCTTGATGAGAGGTATGCTCACCTTGTCTATATGGGGATCCTGGGCAGTGTCAGCAGATGCGGCGACCTGCTCGTCCGCAGCGCTACCCTGTACAGTGGCGGACATCATGCGTCTCTTCTCCTCAGCCAATACGGCGTCGCGGTCCTCGTCGTCCGGGTCATCGCCGTCGTCCATGCCAGGTTCGGCCTTGCTGGCGGCTTCGTTTCCTGCGCCTTCGAACTCGACGCCGCGAATGTGGACGCCGGGAAGGAACTCGCACTCGAACTCGATCTCGCCCTTGTACAGCCCACGCCCGAGGCTGAGGCGTGCGTGGTGCAGCTTGCGACCGGTCCCCGCGTAAGGTACAACATTGTCCGGCACCGCGCGCGCAAGATCGGCGATGGGGACGTCGGTCGTACCGATGAGCCGGTCCTTGCCGTTCTGTTGGTAGTCCATAACATCGAGGGTGATCTTGTCTTTGAGGCTGTGAACGGGGCAATAGAGGATCTCATTCCAGACGGGATTGAGGTCGTTGTTGATAACCGTCGAGCGGTCGGTGATCTGACCGCGGATCTTAAGCTGTGCATAGGGGTCGCTCTTGCCGCCGAGGGCTGCCTCAACATTCTTAACGTCGGTCGCCTTGTTGACCCAGAACTTGACGACGCCGATGGCGGGCGTGTAGCCAGATCCAGAGTTCATGCTTCCGGCCATGCGGACGGGCTTCCACAGCGCCGACATTCGGATGCGCCCGCGCTTCGAGTTGGTCAGCGGGAACCAGTCCTGTTCACGCTCCTTGGCGGCGAGAAGGTCGTCGAGCTTCACGCTGAGGTACGAGTTGACAGGGTCTTGCGCGAGGTCGCGCTCGTGGAGGATCTCGATGCCGATGACAGCCTTCTCGCGTTCAGTCACGAGGAATTCGATGTTCATCTCCCAGATCGGGCTGTCGGTGCGCTTGATGACGAGCGAATCCTTGACCTTGTTGCCGTTGAGCAGCACGCGGGCCTTGTGGTTTGGGTCACCGAGGAGCCCACCACGCTTGTCGAGCTCCTTGGCCTGGTGCACTGTCAGGCGTACGACGCCGGAGCGCGTCTTGGGCAGTGGCAAGTTCTTGCCGTCAGGTCCTCTGTCAGGGACGACGACGGGATAGTACGACAGCGCATACTGGACCATCCCGCGCTCCTTGCCGTCGAGCATCACCGGCGTGCTAAGGTGCTCCTGCTCGGGCTGTTCCTCGAGCTGCTTGAGCTCATACGCGGCAGTACCGAGATGTGAGTCAGGTCGATGATCATTGTAGTCCATCATGCTGAGCGTGAGCATCCCATTCATGTTGTTGAGCAGGATGAACTTAGTCTCCCGGAACTGTGGATTGTTGGTGCTGTGCTTGTACTTGGTCTTGGCGACAGTCTCCTTGTTATCAATCGAAATGGCGACGTACGGGTCGGGGCTGCCGCCGCCGAATTTGACGCCCTTGAGCTCGCGCGCACTGAAGATGGTCACCTGCAGGACACCGCAGGCGGTATCGAGTGGCGTACCGCTGAGCAGCTCCTCAAGGTTGAGCGTAAAGACATTCGGATTGTACATCATTGGCCCTAGGTTGGCATGCACCTGCTCCTGGATGAAGTTGCCGAGGCCGGGTATATTGCCGATGTCAAAGCCGAGCGTGTTGCCGCCGATAGGCTTGAGCACGTAGTCAAATTGTGGCGGTTCCATGAAACTGATGTCGACGGTCTGGACGTGCGGATAGTTGCTCATGAGCTTCATGCGCAGGCGGATGTTGCCGACGAAGCTCATATCCTCCAGTAGGATCGGGAAACCAGCCCCGACAAAGCTGCGTCCGACGCGGACGGTGAGGACGACTTTTGGGTTGATCTTGCGCGCAGCTTGGCGCACAGTCAGGTCCATTGTGTCGTTGGGCGTGAAGCTAAACTTCCAGTCCATCATAACGATGTCCTCTTCAGTGTCCGGGAAGGTGCGGACGTGCTCGATCTTCGGCGCCTTGGTCCCTAGTGTGAAGGTCGTCATGCGGATCGAGTCCAAGAAGCTCGGACAATTTGCCACAAGGATGCTGTCAACCGTAGATATGACTGTGGCAGATAGTACCGGTTCGTAGATAAGCCAGAAGCGGGCTGCACATCCAAACATCGGATGTCAGCCATGCCAATCCTAACTACCAGCACCGTAGAGCACTCACACATGAAGTGGTTGATCCACTCGGCCGACTCGTGCTCGTCCATCATCTTTTTCTTTGCGAGCTCGCGCGCGATATCATCCCTGTGCCGCTGCCGGGTCCTGCGCATACTCGCATTGTAGTACGTCGTCGCGAACGCGCCAACGACGAGAAGGCCCATGATGCCGGCACCGAAGCGCGTCAGAAAGTACGTCGCGAGCACAGCGAGAAGCATGCTCGCGCCGTTGGTCCAAAAGTAGCCCAGCTGGTGGTCGCCGACGTATTGCCCGACAAGCGAGCTTTCCCAATGCGCCAGGCGCGCCTCGGCCTCCTCGATGTCCTCCGCAGCCGCGCTGGCGAGCTCCTTGCTGGAGGACGATCCGCTCGCGGTCTGCGAGACATTTGTACCGGTCAGCTCGCCGGGGGCGGCCATGCCTGGCGGCGGTTTTATGCTCGTGCGCGCGAGGGGCGGATTGAGCCCCTTGATGCGGTCTTTGCTGACACCGTCCCAGCCGACGATGGCGTCCGGATCGACGCCGGCGACGACCTTCGTGCCGGCCTTAACAGCGCCTTCGGTCGTCTTGCCGCCGCCGAGCTGGCCCTCGGCCTTGGAGATGCGGTCGACGTCGTCGAGATTGAGCGTCGCGCGCACGTGCTTGCCGCCAATGTCGCTCGCCATACCCATGCCATGCGCCTCCTTGGGCGGCGGGCCCTTGAACGCACCGCCGGGTGCAGCGGCACGCACCGCGGCCGCTTTGGCTTCCGGCGAGTCCAACTCGTCAAACTGCATCACATTTGCACCGCCAACGGCCGATGCAGCCAGATTCGCTTCGACGGCGGCCCATGCGGATGGATCAACAGCGATGCCTCCGTTAATGGCCGTCCCGTTGGGATGGACTGCGGCTGCATCGTCACCTTCGCCGCCCTGGCTGCGATGGCTGCGGTCTGCGACAGCGTGGTCTTTGGAGCGAACAAGTGAGGCCATCTTGACGGTTTCTGGTTGAAGCGGCTGGAAAAGCGGTGGGACGGGATACTCGGCCTAGTCATGAGGCTTCCTAGTTGTACGTTTGTTTGCGAATGCCTGAGCGGCGGACTCTCTTCGAACCGCCAGCCGCTGCTACCGACCTTGGGAAACGGTGCGCGTACACACGTCCGTCCTCACGGCTTGGTTGAGAGAAGAAAGTGTTTTCAAGAAACGCCAATACCCTCACCCGCCACACTCAGCACCAGCGAGTTTGAGTTGGCGCAACGCTACGCCACGGACAACCAACCAGCAAAGCGCAGGCTCTTCCGTTCACGGTCGCGGGCCAGGAGACCGGAAGACTGCACGTGCCTGCTCTCACTCGGGCGCTGATCCTTGATGGGCACTCGGCTCGACGATGCCTCTCCGACCTCCAGCGTACGCAGCCATGGGATGTCTTCTTAAAAGGTGTGCTTCATAGATTTGGACTGCCCTCGGAGCAAAGCCCAGCGGCGCACACGGCGACTGTGCTGCAGTGCCCCACACCCGTGCACAGACCAATCCATCAGAAACCATGAAGCATGCTTGACGCAATTCTCGATCTGCACACAGATGGATGACTAGAATACAGACATGGATGAACATACATACAATTCCAAAACGCCACTCCCTCCGTCGCCCTTACCGCGACACAATAGCAGTGGACGAAGGAGAACCCCGCGGCTTGGGCAGCCGCCGCGCTTCCTCCTGCGACACCACCGCCAGCAGCTCGGCGTTCGTCAGTCGTAGGCTGTGCACGGCCTGTACGTGGCGCGCCAGATCGTACAGGCGCGAGAAGCGCGCCGTGCAGTTCAACATAGGCGTCGTCGTCGTCGAAGACGAGGATGTACTCTGCTCTGCAGTCTCGGCAACGGCGTCGGCGGTATCCCGCAGCTCGACGATCTTGTCCCACGGACATCCAAGTACGGCGCCGCGCATCTTGCGCACCTTGCGAGGTGGATGGGTGGCCTTGTCGAGCGAGGCTGGTATATTGTCTTCATCGTCATTGGCATTTTCGTGGTCTCCATCGCTGCTGTATTGATAATCTGCATCTCTCCTCCCATTTTCGCTGTTGCTGTCACGACGCCTGCGCTTGCGCATTCCCTTGCCTTTGCCACGCCCATCCCCTTCCTGCCTGGCCGCCGCGAGCAGCCCTTGGAGCACCGATGCTGTTGCTGCGCCTCGGTTGTTGCTAGGACCTCTACCATGCGCTCGAACAGGCGCCGGAGGCCTTTGTGCGTCTCTTTGAGGAACCGCGCCGCCTTCTTGGCGGAAATATTCGTCATCCCGCTCGATAATCGGTGATGAACAGCTCCCTTCGTCGCCATTGCAGTCTGGTGCGTCATCTTCACGAGACGCTTCGCGCTGCTTGCATTTGCCCTTGGATTTGCAGATTCGGAGATGCCTTACGAGCTCGTGCTTGTGTCCAAACTTCCATCCACAGCCCTCCCCGAGCCTGTTCTTCCCGCCGACATCCGTCTCGCCGCAGATAAAGCGCTTGATGCCGAGGTGGTTGACACTAAAGTGCGTAGTCAGCGCGTATTTGCTCTTGAACGTCTTATTGCAGCCCAATATTGTGCAAGGGAAGATGCGGCCTTCGAGTGCGAGCTGCAGCTCCGCATCGACGCCTGTCACCTCGCCGAGATTCCAATGCGCGCAACCGTTTGAAACAGGTGCGCTGTCAGATGCTTCCATTGATGCATTTGCCGCGTCCCTACCACCAATCACCTTACTCGCTGCTGCCACTTCACGTTCCCGGTGCCGTCGCACATGTGCATTGAGGTTCTCCTTCGTCTTGAAAGTCTTGCTTGCGCACTCCGGATACGGGCAAACCGGCGGGTGCGCCTCCTTGATGTGCTTCTGCAGCGCAGACCATGTGCTGAAAGAAAGGATGACGTTCGAACCGCCGCTACCGCTTGAGTCCGGCTGCGGGTGCGGTAAAGAGCACGTGTATCTCCCTTCCTCATGAATTCGGGTGTGCTGCCGCCGTTTGACCATAGTAGGGAAAGCCTTAGCACAACCTGGGAAGGAGCACACGAAGGGCTTTGCGACAGCGGGCCCCGCAGAGTCCCCAGCCAGTGGAGAGTCGTCCGATGCTCCAACGGGAGGGTGGCTGTAGCGATCTGGAACCAGCGAGTGTTTTGCCCAGACGTGCTCTCGAAGTCTTTTCCGCTTGAAAAAAGAGGCGTCGCAGCCTCTTTCGACGCACTTTGAGTGAGACACCGAGGCAAGTGATGAGCATCACGATCGCAAGGTGTATACGGAGAACACCACCCACTTTATAAGCCTTGTTCGCATCAGTTCCAAGAGTATGTAAAATATCTGGCGCCCAGCGCCCTTCATTTGTCGGCATAGCCCCTTGCGACGCCCCCTTGCTTGCAGTCTCGAGAGTGTCTGCATCCTCGTGTATCTGAGCAATGTGCCGCTGCAGGTGGGAATTCGTCCAGAAACTCTTGCCACATTGGACGTCGTCAGATCCTAAGGAAATGTGATGTGTGCAGATGAATTTTCGCTGGTTTGACAATGCTGTCCCCTGGATTTTGGCAGAGGAAGCAGCCGAATGGACCCGCAGCTCGTGAGTTTGCAGGTGCTCCTTTCGCTTGAAGGCGGCTCCGCAAGACGAATGCAAGCAGGAGAAAGGGCGCTGTGAAAAATTTCGGGCTCAGTAATAGCGTCGCACACTTGCCTCCGCAACATGCGACTTACAATGTCTGAATGTGAGGTCAAGTGCGCTTCGAGCTTCGCCTTAGCCTTGAATTCCTTGCCACACCCTTCGAATGTACAAAGAAAGCCGTCTCGGGGAGAACGCGTGGGCGAAGCAGGTCGCGAAATATGGAGAGGCCTTGGAGAGCTAGGCGTGCATCCGTCTAGCGTGGCTGACGAAGAGGATGTCACTGATGATGCTTTCAAGCCCGGCATATAGGCAGCCGTCGATGAGGGAGGGATCGGCTGTTGGGATGCAGTCATGGCTGCCATCTTTGCTCAGCAGAAACTCCCAGATTTCCGTTTGCAGATGTCGTCGCCATTGATCGCGCCGATCCCGGAGCAGATACACCGTACGGAAAGATCAAGGCATCTAAGAAGACGGAAGGACGGCCGGGTGAGACTCAATGAAGCTGAATTGGGTTAACTTGCACCCGATCTGAGATCCAAAGAGATAACAGAGGTCGCAGGCTGGGCAATTTCGACCGAATTGCTCAAACACGGAACGCGGAACCTACTCACAATTCCGGGCGTTTCTCACATCATTGAAGTGATTCGGAGGCTGAGCTAACCAGAATTCTACTTGCCTCCACGAGCTTTGAAGGCCGATTGGTTGGATGTGTCTTCAGGTCGAGCTTCATCTCCATCGTCCTTGGTGGGCATGGCAGAGTATCATGCGCAGGGTTAGCTAGTAGCTACAACACCATTTGTAGTTCCCTTATAGATGCTGAAAGGGCCATGGTGGTGGTTTACGATTCTCCAGGCACAAGGAAGCAGTCTGGTCCCAGCAAACGTGCACCTCCCTCGACAACGCGAGATACGTCATCGCCGTTGCTTCAAGACGGCTCTGAAAGGTGAGCAGATATGATGTTACCTTTCGATACGTGCACCAAAGCTAATGTTTTTTTCAGGAAATGGTATTTATCATCATGGGCGCCATCACGACAGGCGGCCTTCAGCCTGCTGCTCATCGCACGGCTCATTTCCGCATCTGCCAGCATCATCCCGGATTGTGACGAGAGTGAGCATCTGGAGCAACGGCTGTTAAGCCAACTTAGTGTTAACTCACGCTTTTGAATGAAAGCGTACAATTACTGGGAGCCGCTGCATCAGCTCTTGTATCCTCCGGCACCGGCGAGCAATCAATTGGGCAGCTTCAAGACCTGGGAATATGATCCTCGCTTTGCGATCCGTAGCTGGGCTTACTTGATCCAATTCACACCGTTGAAATGGTACACAAATTTGACAGGAATGTCAAAAGTGAGGAGTTCTGCCTGTGAGATCAGATCCACATTCTGACGCGGCCCCCATCTTCAGTATCAGCACTTTTACTTTACGCGGGCCACCCTGGCTTGCGTATCTGCTGCCGTCGAAGCACGATTCTATGATGCCGTCAAAGAGACCGCCGGCGCGCGAACGGCACGGTATCTCTTGGTTTCTCTTCTTGGCTGCGCATCGATATTTGAGGCGTCGACAGGTGTGTGTCGAGGCGACGATGCACTGTCGATTTGATGTATGGTTGACGGTGTTTCCGCGTTGCAGCTCTGGTGCCTTCTTCATACACCTTTTACACGACCACATTAGCTTGGTCTTTTGCAATGAAACCGTCAAACGGGGACCCTGCATCGCGATCTTTGCGGTGTCTGAAGGCCACCGTGGCCTTCGCCTTGGGTGCCATCGTCGGCTGGCCTTTTGCCATCGTGCTCGCCTTGCCCTTCGTTTTCGAAGAGCTTGTCTCGTTCCAACGAACAATAACAGACAGCTTCATGCAGCGGGCCTGCCGATTCTCTCAAGCAGCGATCGCTACTGGTCTGTGCATTGGCCTTCCCACGCTTCTGATCGACACACTGGCATATGGGCGCACAACGCTCATCCCGTGGAACATTATCGCCTACAACATTTTCAGCAAGGCGAGAGGCGCGGGACCGGAGCTGTACGGCACGGAAGGCCAGACATACTATTTTCGCGTCTTGCTTCTCAGTTTTAACTTGCTCTTACCGCTTGCGCTCTCATCAGCGCCGCTGGTACTTCTTGCAGGTGTGGTAAATCCGCATGCATTTGCGCAAACAGCACCAGCCGCTCACAGGGTATCAAAACAACCTGTCGTCCTTCTGCTCAATCGGACGACGCCCTTCTACCTCTGGCTTCTCCTCCTCTCGTTACAGCCACACAAGGAAGAGCGTTTCCTGTACCCGGCCTACGCATTGGTCTGCTTCAATGCTGCGCTTAGCCTGTCCCTGCTGCACACGCTCATCGACTCGGCCTTGCCGCGCGCTCTGCTCACAGGGGCTTGCTTCCCGCAGAGGAAAGCAGGAATCACAATCGGCGGCGCGTTAGCCTGGACGGCCGTCCTTCTCAGTAGTTTCATTGGTGTCCTCCGCTCGGCAGCCTTGACGCACAACTATAGCGCTCCTTTGCACATTGTGTCGCCTCTATGGGGGCCTGAAGCACGGCAGATACTGCAAGAGCGCCATATTGCTTTGGCGGAGAATGCCACTCCTAAAGAGGTCATGGCAGCGCTCTCCAAGCTACAAGGGCCCGTCAAGCTTTGCTACGCAGGCGAGTGGTACAGATTCCCAACTAGCTTCCTTGTCCCGCATGGAATCCAGAGCGAGTTTACGAGCAGCACCTACCAGCACATCCTGCCGGGTCACTTCCCCGTAACGTACGACAGGGGTGAAGAGAAAGGGAGAGATCTCTTTGCTGCGGCTGTTCTCAAGGCTGGCGACTGGGCCTGGACGTACAAGGGTTCCAGAATATCGGAACAAAACTACAATGAATTCAATCTGCCCGAGCCCTCACATGTCGTGAGTATTGACAGAAGTGCCTTGGCTCCAGGCGGACGCTGAAAGGTTCGATATCGCTGCTGTTCTCCTCTAGATCAATCCAACGCAGTGCGACTATATGGTCGACCTCGATTTCAAGCACCGGCGCGCAGGAGCTGGGTCCAGTATAGATGCGTATGAATCGGCTGCCGAGCCCAGCTACTTGCATCAGCCTGCGCGATGGCGTCGCATTCACTGTCTTCCTTTCCTCGACTGGGAGTCGTCGCAGGCAGAGCCGGGTGCTAGTTTGGTACGCAAGATCGAAGCGGCTGTCAGTCGAGCCCTGTGGCTGCCGGAAGGGTGGGGGTCCACGCGCAAATACGCCGATTTTTGCTTGCTGAAGCGTATCGGGGAGGGATCCGGCAATTTGCACAGGGACACAGACATGAAACGCGCCGAAGACCATTTCGATGCGGCGGACTAGCAGGCATTAATCCATCAGCTTGTCCTTTGATGTTGTACAAAATGTATTCATCAAAACAGCTATGAAGCGTATTCCGAGACGCGTGGCTCAACTTCCTCGCCATATGGCGGGTCCTCCCTCCGCTTGAACGCCGCAAAGAACTTCCTGCCGCCGTTGCGCGCAACCTTCTTTCCTTCCTCTGTGCTATCCCGGATGATGGGGACACACGGGTCCTGCTGCAGCTCCTGCCCGTCGTTGTCCATACGCTCGAACAGGGGGAACGCATCCAGGTGCGAGACCATCCATCTGTGCAGATCCTCGACATCGGTGATCGTGTAGAGGATCCCACCCGGAGCAAGCACGTACGCATATTCGGCGAGCAAAGTGGGTGAGACGATGCGCGCCTTGTGCTTGCGCGCTTTGAAGTGCGGGTCAGGAAACAGAAAGAACATCTTTGTGAGCTGCAGGCGCGTAGAGGGGGAAGGAGGGCAGGTAGTGAAGGCGGCGATTAGCATTGACAGGTATCTCGAGGTGGAGTTGAGCATCGCTCCGCTCCAGAAACCAACGGCCTCACCTGCGCCTTGTGAAAAAAGTTTGGCAAGAACTTCATGCAGTTTGCACGGAGCGCGCTGACATTCTTGTACCCGCCAGGCACATCCGAAGCACCACGTACGAGCGCCTCGTTGGCTGTGCGCTCGTTCTCGTCGTCTTCTCCTCCTCCCTCCGGCGCTTCGTCTTGGTTGATGCTGCTGGCGGGTGTGCCGCCTTTGGCTCGTTTGGTCGCTTTCCGCGCCCCGGAAACTTTCCCTGAGGGTGCGGCCGCGTCGCTTCTCTCACGCTTGCTGCCTTTCCTTTGGTCCTCTTCACTCGAGAGCTCAAGAGGCGCTGCAGATGCGTCGGAATCGGTGGGGTGTGCCTCAGGCACATGCTCACTGCGCGCCGCCAGGCGGAGTGCCCTGACCTTGTGAACGACATAGTCTGCCACCTGCTGCCGGATCTCCATGCCGACCATGAGCGTGTCTGGAAAGAGAGGGGCCAGGTCCATCAGGAGGCCGCCAAAGCCGCATCCAATGTCGGCAAAGCAAACCGGCTGGGACAGGCGCGGAGGCTGTGAGGGGTTTGTCTCTGGGGAGTGTGGCGGCAACAGAAAGTCGGGAAAGTGCTCGGACCAGTCCATCGCCGCTGGATGTGCGGGGCTGTCGAGCATATGAATCACAGGGGCTCTTATAAGTCCTAAGAATCCGCATTAGCCTGCGCAAATGCCACTCACTACGTGAGCATGTGGTCGCTAAAAGGATTGGCATGGGCCCTCTGCCTGTACCACTTTTTCTGCGGAATGACAATCTTTCCGCCTGCTTTGACGTTGAGATGGGCATGGTGCTGCTTTACCTGCTCTCGAAGGAAGTGCGCTTTGTCCCTTTCGTGCTCTGAGCGCCGCAGCTCATCGCCGGCCTTTCGCCGTGCGACATGGGACAAGTTCCTCGGGTGGTGGAAGCCAACTTGGGCCTCTGGCGTGTAGCTGTTCGTTGCCGCGGCTGCATCACCGACTGCGCCATTACCTTCGATCTCCAGCTGCTGTTCCGTCATGATTGCAGAGGCTAGTGGTGCCGGCCAAGCTGACGGTTCTTGACCCTCGACGATAAGCATTCAGGGGGGCTCCGAGGGTTAAATGCCTTTGAAAGCAAGCTCTCATCGAGAATGAGAGAAAGTGTAGAGTCTGCCTGAGCTCCTTGGTAGATAGGCGGAACTCGGGACTGAGAAATTTCGAGGGCGGAACGTGGTGCTGGTTTTCTGTGGAGGCGTGGACGAGACCGATGACTGTGCGAAACTTGGCGGCGCACGGATACACGCCGCGCAGGGCAGCACAAGCACGCGAAGATCTACCATGCGGATGGTCCAACTCCCTCCCTCACAGATACATCCATCTGACATCCAACTTCAACACGTTCACGAAAGGCAGCACAATCGGAACAAACAGTCACGAGCCCATTGTACCCACGCCCTCACTCTCACTTTCAAGATGGCAGCACCACAGGTCGAGCCACAAGTGGCCCGGGAGATTCCTTCGGAGCAGGGTAAGTTACTGGGTGTCGCCAAAGAGATGCGCGGCGCGCTCGCCACCTTGCTGTGTCGCTGCTTCCCAGTTTCGCTGAAATATGCGCCAGGGGGCCGAGTGCCGTGCAGAAGCAGCTGCAGATGACTGCAGCTACGTGGATGTTCCGCGCTTGGAACGACAGCTGCGAGTGTAGAGGCTGGGAAACACTCTTGCCAAGAAGTCACGGGAAGATTCTGACGTGCGTCCTGTCCCCTTTACTGCATATGTGCAACAGAGAACTCCGTGCAGGCTATCGAGAAGAAGTTCGAGGATCTCGAGGTGGAGCTGAGTGAGTGCGCTGTGGGGCGGAGCGGTGAGGAGCGCCGCTGTTGACAGGGGGGGGCTGGCTGGATCTGGCTTTTGGCAGTCCGCGACTCTACCAAGCGCCACGACCCCATCTACAAGGAGCGGGCAGAGATTGTGAAGAAGCTGCCGGACTTTTGGGCGCAGACTTTCCTCAACTCAGGCACCGTGGCGATCTACTTTGACACCGAGGATGCCGAGGTATTCAAATACCTCACCGACTTTTCCATCGAGCGCACGGGCGCCAACGGGGACCCGCGGCCGAACAAGTTTCACTTTACGTTTGGGGAGAACCCGTACTTTTCGGACAAGGTGCTGACGAAGGAGTTTGTGTTGGCGGAGAATGCGCCTGCGCTGTCTGCCAACTTCGACGCGTCGGAGGAGCTCAAGGCGCTCAAGACGTCGATCGCGTGGAAGGATGACGAGCACAACCTGGCGGCCAAGAACCCGCAAAAGGGGGGACGCGATGATGACGACTTTGAGCCAGGCAGCTTCTTCAGCTGCTTCTTTGAGAGCGAACAGGCGGAGGTCAGCGCGCCGATTGGGCACGGCATCCTCGAGGACCTGTGGCCGAACGCGGTCGCGATCTACACGCTCGAGCACGACGAGTCGGGGCTCGACGGCATGATTGACTTTGAAGACAGCGACGATGAAGGCGATGAGGACGACGAGGACGACGAGGACCCCAATGCGGAGATCGACCTGGAGGATGACGAGCCGCCGAAGAAGAAGAGCAAGAACTAGCAAGCCGGGAGAGCCATCTCGGGGGCAAAGGACAGGGAAGGGCCGACGAGGGGGCGGTGTGCCATGCCCGCCTGCCAAAAGGAACAAGAGAAGCAAGCAAGGGTGGTGGCAGAGATATCCACGTTTTTCTTTCTTGCCTGCTTTCCTGTTTTTCCCTTTTTTCGGTGTGCTGCAAAACAAAAGCCAATGCAATAGCCGTGTCGTTTCCACATGTTCATCCGTTTCACTTGCTGGCGGGTTGCCGGGGCTGCATCCCCCTGTTCCACTGGGCCGACAGGATGCTGCTGACGTATGTACATATGTAATACTGTAACGCGCCTAGCCTAGCCACCAATGTGGGCGTGCACCCTAACCGCTGCGTCCCCCCCTCGACTAGTCTTGGGCAGGATGAACCTGATCCATTCGGGTGGTAGATGGTAACCCTACTATGATTGTGGAGAGCACGCCACTTTGCCTTTCGTATTTCGGTTCGCTTTGCAGCGATTATGTATGTAACAGTCCGTCATGTTGACCGGCTGTTGTTGTGCTGTGCGCGCTGCCTGATACACTGTGAATGGCTGCCGTCCTGTTTCACAATATCCCCCAATCTCTGAGTCTTTGTAATGCCACAAGAGTGAGCGAAGAGAGCTGGGGGGGCAGAGCAGCGCAGCGCCCCCGCAGCACAAAAGTCTGGGCGGGCGGGCGGGCGAGGCGATGGCTACATGCTTGCATGACATGGCATGGTACCTGGCAGCGGGCACTGGCGCAGTCTGCTTTAAAGTTTATCCAGTGTGTCTGTGCGTTACGCTCCCCGCAGGGTGATCTAATCCACGGTGGATGGAAGCGCAGTACGTATGTACAGATATATATATAGGTAGCTTCCAATCACCATCACCATCGCTATCATGGTCAGCAGCAGCAGCAACCCGCGGGCGGTCGATCAAACTGGAATCTGTGCATGTTGGGAGGTGTGTGCGAGCACAGCATAGCACAGCGCAGCACCGCATAGCATACGCACAGCACGCCGCTCGAGAATTCCTTGGTTCGACGAGGCGAGCCAATTCCATCAGCAGCCACCTTCGCTGCCTTTGACGACACGTGCGGCGCTTCTCTTAACATTATCTGCCGCCACCGCTGCATTCGACTCGATTTTCAGATCGCTTTTGGCTTTGCCGTTGTTGGCGGGTGCAGGCAAGAAATCCTTCCAGCTCGGATACTTTCTCGGCCACCCACTCACGTATGCTGGTTCTCCTGACCTGAGGCGCATCGCACCGGAACGACGGTAGGTGCACGGCCGCTTCTTGCATCATGCCTCTCAGCAAAAGCGGCAGCGCCAACCAGGGGCAGGCCAGCCCGGGCACGTACCCACGCCCCGTGACACGTGCAGCCTGCCTCAACTGCCGCACAGCCAAGCGGCGCTGTGACGGCGTCGCGCCCGTCTGCGGGCCGTGCGTCTCGCGCGCCATCCCCGCCGGCGCGTCCGCTGCCGATGGCGGGTGCTTCTTTATTGCATCTAAGCGTGGAGGGCCCCGGTACAAGGGCGTCAAGGGCTGCGATGTCGCTCGCGTCCGCGCTGAGCGCGAGCTGGGCTCCCGCGAGCGCAAGGACGCTGCTTCCGCGGCCAGCGTCCTCGTCGCCGCTGCCGCGGCCGTGGCCGCAGCCAACCAGCCGACTACGTCGCGCAGCGCTACGAGCGGAGATTGCGCGGAGGTAGGCACAAAAGTAGCTGCGGTTGCGCACAACGCACATGCAAATGAAAACGTCGCCCCTGCCGGCATCAGAGCACGCAAGCGCACGGCGGACGGCGGCAGCCACGGCCATCCGCACGTGGATGGCGGGAGCGCCAGCGCTCAGAGCGATGCAGATGGCAGCGTCAAGCGCAAGACCAGCTACTATGGCAATGGAAATGGCGCCAGGGATGACGCCGCCTCGGGTTTACAGCCTGTGCACCAGCTGTATCAACCTCAGTATCAACAGGCGCAGGATCCTCATCATCATCATCAACAGCCACCGCCCCGGCCGCGGCCTGAGCGCTATGCGTCGAACTCGGAGCCCTCACAGCATTATTCAGCCCAGTTCTCGCAGTCGCCGCCAACGTATGCATCCGCAGGCGTCACATGCCAGCCTCCGCCGAACGGTGCGCTAAATCACTCGCATTCTGCGGACGCTGGCGTTTTGTTGCCCCACCAGCAGCGGCAGCATGACCTTTCCATGTCCAACCTCGAGCTTTGGCAGCGCATCCAGGCGCAAGCGGCTGCATTCGCCGCTAGCAATGGTCAGACCTACCGTCCATCCGCTGTGCAGCACCATCAGCAACAGGGACACAGACTTGCTTCGAATGAGGACGCAAATCCGCACCTAGCCGCCATGACGCCACCGCAGCAACATCAAAATAAGGATCGGAAAGAGCAACAGCGAAAGCAGCAGCTGCCGAAACAACAAAGTCAGAAACAAGGGCAGGGGCAGTTGCATCAACAACAAAAGCAACAACAGCAACCACCGCCACCACCACCAGGGTCGCACTTCCCGCCGCACCAACAAGAGCTACCTCCACAGCCAACACCGCCACCGGTCTTCGCGACGACGGTGGTGACGGACATGGATAATTGGATGGACTTCAACATGCTTGACACCTTCTTCAACCAGGTGCAGCACTTGCCCAGGGGGGTCAATATTGGCGCCTGGGGCGACGGCGACGATGAGCACCTGGCCATGGAGCTGATGAGCAACTCGTCCAGCGCCTCGGACATTGACCCGGTAGATTCGGAGCAACAGGCGCGCACGCTGCTCGCACAGTACTACAAGCACGTCTACCCCCTCCTCGCCGTTCTCCTACCGCCAGGCCATCTGTCGACGTACGCGTTTTTCTTTGCCGAGGGACGACCCTCGGCTCTCCTCTCCGCCATAGCAGCCTGTGTTGCCACCTGTTGCAGCGAAGAGGACGCACGCGCAACGATCCGAAGCAGCATCAAGCGCCAGCAGCGCATCCATGTCGGCAGCAGCCGTGTGCATAAAAACGGTAACGGCGCAGGCACCAGCGACGCTGGAGGTCAAGCCACGACCCCTTCGCTGCTCGGGCCGACTGCGACGCGCGCGGAAATTGCACGCTACCACTGCCGCACCGCCGAGATCCTCCTGCAGCGCGACCGCGAGCTGCTCGACAGCATGCAGTCCTGCGCGCCTGCTGCGCATACCATCACCCACGGCACCGGTCCCTCCGCTGAGCACCGAGCCAATGGAAATACCAGATCGCCGTCCATGCGCGCTTCGGTCGGCGGCACTGGCGCGCACACAGGCGCGCGGACGGACGATAAGAGCTCGCGCCTCGGCCCGTCCTCCGGCAAGATGGACGTTGAGCTGATGCAGATCGAGGAGGCCGCCGCGCGCGTCTTGCTCGCGCACTACCACTACGGCGCTGGGCCTGATGCGACGCATCGTATGGCTTTCGACCACGCGCGTAAGGCGTGGATGTTGTCCACCACGTTCGAACTCAAGCGCTCCACCGCGAGTGCTCCTGCAGGTCGTGCCAGCGGTCGCCGCGGCGAGATGCAAGTGGACGCCTCGCTGCCAGGCATGCAGGCCGCTTTCGGCAACGCGGACCGGTGCGAGTGGAAGCGCAGAGTCCATTGGCTCGCCTATACGGCTGCAACGCATCTCACCTGCCTTGGCGGTTTCGTGAGTGCCCTACCGTCACCTCCACACATTCTTACTCCGTCCCGCAGCAACTTGATGCTTATTCTCGCCGCCCGCGCCCGGCTGCTGCTGATGTTCCTCTTTTTCTCAGAAACCGCTCAAAATCACCAAGAATCGCATCACCGACCTTGACTACCGCCCATACATCGAGTGCGACGACGCCGCATTTGGCGTCTACATCCGCGGCGCGCAGACCGTCTCACGTGCCTACTCGAAGATCTACAGTCTCGACTCGATCCGCGTCAAAGTCATGCGCGTGCGCGAGGGCAAGTACACGCCCGCACAGGCGCAGGCTGAGCTGAAGAACCTCACCATCAGGCGTCAGAAGGTGCTGAAGGAGATGCTCCGGCTCGACGCCGAGGTCCTCAATTTCACCCGCTTCGATCCTAGCTGGAAACGCAACGAGCACGAGTTCTCTATCAGCGATGACCCTGACCGCAACCTCTGTGCTGGGCTGCGCATCAGCGGCAAGCTCATGACCTCGGGCGCGCTTGTCATGCTGCATCGTACCACCGCCTTTGGCAATGCTCGCATCTTCCTCGAACCGCAGTGCGGTATCCCTGGAGCTCAAGCACTTGAGGACAACTTTGACAGCTTCTTCATCGCCGATACCATTCCCGGCGCTGCGTGCTTCAGCAGCTCATTGTCTTCTGCTGCCTCGTTGAACCAGAGTGTCAGCTCCAAGGAGCAGGACAATTGCCTCTGGTACCGCGGGTCAGAGGCGGTCGACGGTGCCGATCAGCAAAGCTCCGACGAGGGCGATGACGATCAGCGGAGCCCAGCCACCAAGCACGGCGGCGTCACCACACTCAGCGCCCCCATCTCCACCTGGAATCTGAACAACCGAGGCGACAGCGGTTGCATCACGCCGGACGACTCGGCTCAGCACGCCCCCAGAATCGGTGAGGAGAACGATCCCTTCGCCGACGGGCCGTACGACCCGGCGCTATCGTACGAGCGCTGCCGCTTTGCCGCGTACACCATGTGGTCCACGCTCCCTTACGTCCTTGGCCACTTCAACCCGGGCCGCAAGGACGAGGAGTGGTCCGATGCGGAGCTTCACACGGCCCCCTTGCTGCCGCCGCTATCGTGCTGCTCGTACGTGCTGGGCTCGTACGCAATGCTCATGCAGTGCCTGTTCGTCCAGCTCTACGGCCAAGAACGAACGACGGCGGACATGCTGCGCGCGCGCGCATGGCAGATCGAGAAGGCGCTCCGGCGCTTTGTGCGCCACTGGAGCACGCTTTCCGAGTACGCCAACGAGGTTGCCACACTACTCGTCGCCAACCAGAGCCTGGTTGAGAACAAGAACGACGATGGCCTCGTCGACCTCCGCGGCTCAGCACTGCCCCAGCAAGGCACTTGATGACCCGATTGCAATTTTCGTTAGCCTCTTGGGACGCAACGTAAGACAATACGTTTTTTGGCTTTTCAATGTTTTTTTTGACAGTCATTTCGTCCCCTGAGCACGCCGTGCTGTTTATGTGCGGCTCTGTATCGTAGCACTGCCTGTTTCATAGGAACGAATACCAGTCTTTCTTCTAAAGCGTCGGAAAGGAATGGCTACCGGCCTGTGTCACCGCTTGTTTCGTGTTCTCGCAAGCGCCAGAGATTACTTGCAGAAAGTCACTGCAACATAGGTCCTACTATACATGGAGGTGTTCGGAAGGGAGGGAAGAGGGAGGGAATGCAAACTTCATGCTGTATTCCGTAGAACTAGAGTATCCGACCAAGATGCTGTCAGCTTCAAAGACCCGAGTGCGCAAACAGGGTCGTTAAGGCAGTACTTACCAAGAACCACCGAGTCCCCTCGGAGGAACATCTTGGAGATGAAACGGTCCTTCTGTGTGCCGTCGATGATCGATAATCAGGAATAGTAACTACGTCAGCTCTGTAACTCTTCCTACTTTATTCGCAGAGCAGCAGGCGATCCGCTCACGTTGACAGGCTTTTTGTTCTTGTTTTTCGGAATTTCGGTCCACATCTGCAACGTATTGCCCATCCAACATCAGCAAAGCGTCCAAGCCAGGTTGCGAGGGTGAGCATGCGCACCTCTTTGACGTTCTCCAGTACCATGTTGCTGTGCCGGTCAAACGCCTTGACCCGCGCCAGCAGCTTCTTGTTGTTTCGTAGCGAGATGAGGATCTGCGTGTTGTTGCGTACGGACTGCTGCAGTACCGAGAGCGGTCCTTGGGAGATCTCGTATGCCTCCAGCTCCCGGATCTGGCCCTCGTCCAGCTCTGACCGCGGTACGTTGGCGTATTGGCTGCGCGGTCGAACCATGCACCCGTCCGTCAGTGTGCCGCCGCAAGGGTATTGTAAAGAGGGGGCAGGGCGGAGAAGCGTGGATGGAAGGACAGAAGGAACCTCGTCAGTTCCGATCGTTTTTCCACAAAGACTGCACGATTTGCCTAAGCGGACTCACCTCATCTCTTTCGTCTGCCTATCCTTCGTTTCGCGCCAATGAAAAATCCTTCCTACTGCCCGTGTGTCTTCATCCGTCGTTATCTTTTGCAGCACAAAGCGTGAACGATGAAGTGATGAAGAGAGACTCCCAGCAAGTCAAGCTCACGAAAAGGAGAGGTGCAGTAAGTTGGAGACAGGGTGAACATAACCCTAATTAAGTTCGCAGCGGCTTGTGCTGTCGTGTGCTCTTTCCCGAATAGAAACTCTTTTCTTCTCCTGCAGTTGAGGGATTCCAACGAGAGATGCTGTGAGGGGGTGTGACTCCAGCACAACTTCCTTTCGAGGTACAGCAATATGTGCGTTATACGCAGCGAATAGAGCTGTATGCACCGTTGTTCTCCTGCAGCAAGTCGGAAACGTTCCAGCAGCTAGAAAAAATGGCATCCGAAAACACTTCCCAGACGGCGCCTCACCCGTTCCACTCGTCGGCCGAGGCTCGCGACCCAGCTACGAATCTGTCAGAGGCTGTGGCAGATAAGCTCAGGGTGCAGGACGGAACCGATGCGAAGCTAAAGGCCCCAAAGGCCAACAAAGATAAGAAGGGAAAGGGAGATGCCAGTGGAGTGCCGCTAGAGGTGGGTCTTCCATATTCTTTCTGATTTGGTTCGGGTTGCTTCCTTAAGTGGCTGACTCCGCGCCTCTTTCATGTCTTGACCCAATCAGTTCACTCCAACGCCAAGTTTCTTCTCGCATCGTATTCAGTTGTTTGAGAAGCTCAAAGCGGAGCAAGATGCGCACGCAGCAGCGCAGCCACGAGACGGCATCAACATCACCCTGCCAGACGGGAGCAATAAGCCGGGCAAGGCGTGGGAGACCTCTCCAATGGATATTGCCAAAGCGATCAGCAAGTCTCTTGCCGAGCGCATCGTCATCTCCAAAGTCGACGACGAGACTCTCTGGGACCTCGAGCGTCCGCTGGAGAAATCATGCAAGGTAGAATTCTTTGATTTCAACTCAGACGAGGGAAAACGTGTCTTTTGGCACTCGTCTGCACATGTGCTCGGCGAGGCGGCTGAGCAGCACTATGGCTGCCATCTCTGCATCGGACCGCCCACATCGGAAGGCTTCTTCTACGAGATGGGTATGGGAGAGAGCGAGGGGCGAATGACTCGTCAGGAGGACTTCCCGGCGCTAGAGACGCTCATCTCAAGAGCGATTAAGGAAAAGCAGCCGTTCGAACGACTGAAGGTCACCAAAGAGAACCTGTTGGAGATGTTCAAATACAATAAGTACAAGCAGCACATCATCAACTCTAAGATTCCAGATGGTACCTCTACCACGGTCTACCGCTGCGGGCCTATGGTTGACCTCTGTGTCGGTCCCCACATTCCCCACACGGGCCGAATCAAGGCGATGAGCGTGCTGAAGAACTCGGCATCATATTTCCTCGGCGACCAGAACAATGACTCACTGCAGCGACTCTACGGAATTTCCTTCCCTGACACGAAGCAGATGAAGGAGTACAAGCAGTTCCTCGAAGAGGCCGCCAAGCGCGATCACAGAAAGATTGGCAAGGAGCAGGAGCTGTTCTTCTTCCACGACATGTCACCTGGCTCGTGCTTCTGGCTTCCGCACGGCATGCGCATCTACAACTGTCTGACGGACTACATCAAGGGTGAGTACAGGATGCGCGGCTTCACCGAGGTGGGTTCGCCCAACATGTACAACAGCAAGCTGTGGGAGACCTCCGGGCATTGGGCCAACTACAAGGACGACATGTTCACGCTCACCGTCGACAAGACCGAAACGTTCGGCCTCAAGCCGATGAACTGCCCTGGCCACTGCCTGATCTTTGGCAGCAGAGACCGGAGCTACCGGGAGATGCCCATGCGTTTGGCCGAGTTTGGTGTCATCCACAGGAATGAGGCCAGCGGTGCCCTCAGTGGCTTGACCAGAGTCAGGCGCTTCGTCCAAGATGATGCGCACATTTTCTGCATGACTTCGCAGGTGAGTTTTTGGTGAAGTTTCCGAGCGAATTGGGCACGAGCCTAAATTTGCTCTCTCCTGCCTCCGACAGATCGAAGAGGAAATGGCGAGCTGCTTTAGCTTCCTCGACGCTGTGTACGGCAAATTCGGGTTCACCTTTAAGCTCGGCTTGTCAACGCGCCCAGAAAAATTCATCGGCGACATCCCTGTCTGGGATGCAGCGGAAGCGCGTCTCAAGTCTGCGCTCGAGAAGTTCGTCCCAGGGAAGTGGGAGACCAACCCGGGTGACGGAGCCTTCTATGGGCCCAAGATCGACATTGACATCCAGGACGCCATGAAGCGCTCCTTCCAGTGCGCAACCATCCAGCTTGACTTTAATCTGCCCAACCGCTTTGACCTGCGTTTCCGGTGCCAGCCAGGCACGGGCACGCTAGAGAATGGCGACTCAGACCGCCCGGTCATGATCCATCGCGCTATCCTCGGCTCCTTGGAACGTTTCATCGCCATTCTTACGGAGCACTTTGCGGGCAAATGGCCTTTCTGGATGTCACCGCGGCAGGTCGTCGTCATTCCCGTCACGAACTCGGTCTTTGACTATGCAGAAGAGGTCAGGCGCACGCTGTGGGGCAAGGGACTCTATGCAGATGTCGACCTCTCAGACGCCACACTGCCGAAGAAGATCCGCAATGGAGAGATCGCGCAGTACAACTTTATCCTAGTCGTCGGCCATGAAGAGAAACAGGATAAGAGCGTTAATGTCAGGAATCGGGACAATATCGGGCAAAAAGGACGCGACGAGAGGAAAGCCCTGGCGCAGATCGTGGATGCGCTGGTTGCGCTTAAGGACAGCAAGAGCCTCGAGAACAAGTTAAATGTGTAGAATGTACCTGCAGTAATGCATGATATAGGGGCATGCTATAAGACTGGAGTGACCTCGTGTATCAGGATGCTTTCGGAGCTGTTGCCCATCCAGCCGCGATCTCCGGATGCGACATAGAGGAATCGGGAGGTGGGATCCAGGACTAGGTAAATCGAGATTATGGCTCAGTCAATACTCTTAAAGAACGATATCCACCGGCCACTCACGAAGACTCGAGACCATCGCGCCGTTATGACCGGCGACAATCTTAAAAGGTACCTTCCCGCCTTCCTGACTGAGGCTCGTGTCCCACAACCTCACATTGTCCTGCGAGCCGCATATGATGTGCTTGTCGTTTGGCATGCTGGTGATTGACGTGACGGGTCCACACCCAGTCGGCAGCTTTAAAGCTCGGAGCATTCGTGGGTGGCCCATGCCACGCCACACCATGCCGTCCGCGGCAGAACCGTTGGTTCCATTTTGGGAGCTTGATAAAGCGCGAAGATCCCACTCCTCAATCACTTCGTTCCTGCGGCCAACATAGATGCGGTCCCCATATGTGGACCAGCTGGCTGTAGCGCACCATGGCGGAGTCTTTTCGGGTAAAGGTAGCGCCCGCACGCCCCCTTTTGCGTCTGCTGGAACCCTCCTATCCCACAACATTACCTGCCCACCTAGCGTGGTGGTCAGCAGAACGTCAGGGCTGAATCGTGAGACATCTGCGTCGAAGCCTGCCGATGCCGTCAAGCTCCCAAGAGATGACTTCGACAGGGTGGACTTGGAATTAGCTGGTCCTATCCTGCTGGCTCCATTAGCAGTTGTTCCTGCAGCCTTCCCATTAGTCTTTGCTAAAGCCTTCGCGTCGGTCGGGAGCGCAAGACCGGCGTGTTTTTTGCTGCTAAGCATCAGTAAAGGCTCGTCGTCGGAGGGCGCATCTTCATCTCCGCCTTCTGCATCCGCCTCCCCATCTGCATCAGCTTCTCCGTCGGCATCGGCGTCAGTGTCGGCATCAGCGACAACTTCCTTTCGGGCGAGAACCCCGCCGGACTGGTTCCTGAAGCCATCCTGAGCTCCCTCTGTCCTTGCTGGGACGGCCACATCCAATGTCTCGTCCGCCTCGCCATCAGCGTCCGCATCTGCATCTGGGTCAGCAGCGGAAGCGTCCGAGCTGTCTCCAAAGAGAGAGTCCGCATCCGAATCGGCTGGCGCCTGCTTCTTCTTCCTCTTGGCAGCAGTACTCGATGTGCTCCCTTTACGCTCAGTGCTCTTCGCCCCAGCAGGTAAGGATGCACTTTGCACAGCAACTTTGCCCATGTTGGTGATGCCCATGAGTGCGATATCATCCTCATCCTCGTTGACGTTGACAGGCCCCGCTGTCGTTTCAAAAGCACTGTCGCTGCACCCCGGGCCCGTAGCGCCACCGAATTCAATCCCCAAAGACTCATTCAGCTCACGCTCGAGCGCAAGATCTTCGTCCATCGTCCCGAGCTGCTGGCTGTCGTTTATTGTTGGCGCTGCTGTCGAAGGATCGTCTCCTGTCGCATCAAATACCGGGGCGCTCGCTGCTACAACTTGCTGATTTTTTTGCAGAGAGCTTCCTCGCATGGGTGTGTCGCCGTCCGCATCAACTTTTGCTTCGGGCAAGTCCGGAGCAGGAGCAAGAGCCGTGCTCGGACTCTTTGCAGCCGTGGGGTTCTCTGAATGCTCCTGAACACTAGATAGGAAATCTGGAGCCGTGACTTGACTTCTGCTGCGACTGCGATGACTTGGTGCGGGCGCGGGCTCGAGCGTCGAACTTCGGCTCCGGCTCCTCTTGTGCCCTCCTTCTGGGTCAGGGGTTTTGGAGTCGGTACGAGCACTTTTGATAGGCGAGGAAGGCAGTGTGACTTGGCTTTGAGGGGCTGTACTTTCTTCCAAAGCACTGGCATGGATGCTGATGACGCTCGCATCTCGCGATTTCGGTACGTGCACGCCTGGTCTGAGTGGACGGAAACTCAAGCTGCTGATTTGACCCACGTGATACGGATACTCCCTGACGACCTGGCCCGTATCCAGGTCCCACTGTAGAACATTCTTGTCCCACCCTCCGCTGACGAAGCCGCGCTGGTCTGGCGTCAATACCAAGCTAGAAACTGGGCCATTGTGTCGACGCAATACGTGATGGGTATAGCCATTGCGTCTTCGCGGAACGCTTGTGCTGCCGCCGTTAGTTGGCGGAGGGTTTGGACCGCCATTGTGGAGCTGTTGTTGGGTGTGTCGCAAGGTCATGAGATTGATCGCTCCTGATTCGGAGCCGACCAAAGCCCAGAGTGCGTCTGCCTGACAGGCGATAGAATGGACTGCTGCCACGGGGGGTGGCTGTCGCCCGCCGTCACCTTCTTCCTCTTCTTCATCAGCGCCATCGTCATTATCGTCCTGGCGCTTTTTGCCTTTGCCTTTTTTCCCCTTTACCTTGCTCGGTACACTCTGCTTGGGCTGCGGAGAAGCCGCGGCGCTGGCATCATCGTCCTCGTCCTCTTCATTCGCATAGAAAGCGCTCATGAGTCCACCCTTGTTGAAACCTTCCGGAAACTGATGGCGCACGCTAGCAGTCAGCAAGCTCTTGCCATTGACCGTACCGTAGACATCGTATCGCCGAATGTAGCCATCGCTGCCTCCGCTCAGGAGCACGGTGCCATCAGCAGATTGAGCCATGCAATGAACATGCGCCGATAGCGTCGGGCATGCCGCCAATGGCTCTGTTGAATAAGAGATGGCAGATTGGTAGGTAGAATAAGGATGGGACGCGGCGACATGGGACGAGAGGGTGTGAAAATAAGACAGGTAGTCATCAAGGCGAGCCTTGGTGATGCGTTGGTACTCAGATTGCACGCCCGGCCGCGAACCAGCGATCCCAACATGGGAGGGTGAGAGGCGGCCAGACTCATGCGCATTCTCTGATGATTAGTATTAGATTAGAATGGCAGTATCAGTGGCGTGATCCACATTGTCAATTGATCGATGCGAGCCTCACCTTCCACGTCGGTCTCATCATCGTCGCTGGGACGTTCCATTTCCTCATCTTCCTCCTCCTCGCCGTCGTCAAAATCTTCACCAGAGTAGTCGTCCATATCGTCACTTTCCATCTCAGCTTCATCTCCATCATTTTCATCCATCTCCTCCTCCATCTCCTCCTCCTCGAACTCGTCCGGGTCGTCTTCTTGATGCAGAGCCATGGCTCGTGCAGCACACCCAACCTCCTTGTACTGGCTGTCCTGGCAGGCAAAGGGCCGAGTCGCGCGCAATGTCTCTAGGCCAACGCAAATTATTGCATTCACCTTTTCTGTCTAAGGGCGACGCTTGCACGAGCCTGTCTGCCGTGTGCGATGCCAATGGCTCGGGGTGGAAAATGGAAGAAAAGGCGAAAGTGATGTAAACTATCATCGGTCGCGTTGCTAGCATTCCAACGCGTTGTTCGAAGGCGATACTAAAACCCTCTCTTCCTCGTCGCTCCACCGAAACATCAAGGCGCTCTGATTAATCGTGTCTGTATCCTGAACTCCTCATGTACGGATCAGTCATTCATCATCATCATCATGATTTTCTTCCCACCTTGAATTGATCGCATGCAACACTCTCTTCTAGACATCGTTTGCCATTGAAGCAACTTATCTGCGAGGAAAAGATAGAACAAAAGCTACCCGCTTAATTTGCAACACGATCAACCGAACGGCTGGCGCACATGGCAACGCGTGCATGGTCCCTGCATCTCACAATCCGACCTATCCCTCGGCCTGTGTCACGACGGCTCTTCCCCAAGATGACAGTCTTCACCATCGCAGCGCCTCCGTCAGCGCCATCGTCCATAACTGCTTCAGATTTCAAGCTGCCGCCTCCGACGCGAACGCAAAGTCTCTCGAAAGGGCCGGAGGCCGTGGTGGACAAACACGACAATGTTGCCATGCTTCACCGTGTCAGTCGAGACTTTCGCTCCGATACGCTGACCATTCCCACGGATGACATGTTTATAGTGATGGCTAATGCCAGCCGTGGGGACGACGTGTATGAAGAAGATGCGACGACAACTGCCTTTGAGGCCCAGATTGCTGCGCTTACGGGTAAAGAAGCCGCACTTTTTGTTGCCACAGGCACATTGTCGAACCAGCTCGCTATTCGCACCCATCTCCATCAACCGCCGTACTCCATTGTGTGCGACGTTCGCTCCCATATTAATACATACGAGTCAGGCGGAGCCGCATTCCACTCTGGAGCACATATGATTCCCATCACACCGAGCAACAAGCATCACCTCACATGGGAGGACATTGAACCACGGCTGGTGCTCGCCGAGGAAGAGGTGCATTCTGCCCCGACACGCCTGATTTGCCTGGAGAACACGCTGAACGGCACCATTTTTCCGCAAGAGGAGATCGTTCGCATCGCCAATGAGGCCCACCACCTTGGCATTCAGATGCACGTCGACGGCGCACGTCTGTGGAATGTTGCAGCCGAAACAGACACGCCCATCCATACTCTCTGCAAGCCATTCGATACAGTGAACATGTGCTTCTCCAAAGGTCTTGGTGCACCCGTAGGATCTATTCTCGCCGGTCCAGCAAAGTTTATTCGAAAAGCCAGGCACTTCCGCAAGATTTTCGGAGCCGGTCAGAGACAAACTGGGCCGCTCGCTGCAGCGGCAAAGCTAGCAGTTGAGACCAGCTTACCGAAGCTCAAAGCGACGCACGAGCTTGCGCGGTACGCACAGGCCGAGCTTGAGAAGCTCGGCGTAAGAATCATCACACCTGCGGAAACCGGGATGGTGAGTATAAAGTGGCCATTTGATTTGTATTACTTCGCTTAGTGCAGTGCCTGGTTCTGTCCAGCTCTTCATCGACACACAATCCGTTGGAATCCATCCTGCGGAGCTCACCGAGCGCGCCGAGCGTCTGTCAGATCCGCTGTATGTGCGTACACAGCGTCTCGTGATGCACTTCCAAACCGACCCGCAGGCCGTGGTGGACTTGTTACAGCTCGTTGCCCAGATGAAGCAAGAGAAGCTTGACCAAGGTTTTGTCGCGACAGACAATCCCTCGGCTATCGAAGGGCCAACAGGCAACGTTTACATTCGCGCGGCTGGTGATAAGTTGCCTCGGTACATGTTCAATAATACAACTAGAAACTGCACTTGACTGTGTGCTCCTGCCACTGTATTTTCTCCTCACTAGTCCTGACGTGTTTTTGGTGGTATTGAATGCTAGATATCGCTTTCTCAAACCCTAACAGGCTTGCCAATGGATCGGCGAAATCGCCAAGATGCGATTGAAGGCCTCATCACGGTTGTACAAATTAATAAAGTTGAGTGGCTCCTGCGAGTGCACATGAGAGTCAGTGCCATGTTCGTGATCCGCGAGCAAAAGATTTGCACCTTTTGTCCCTTGACTCCGATCTGCAATCCATTGATGGGTCTCTGCACAACTCCTTCAATGTCGCCATCTACTTTTCCCGAGATCATCTGGCCAATAGTGTTGACCTTGGCAAGTGATGTAATCCGTTCCAGTTGCACTTCTTGCAAAATCATTTCGGAGTCTACCGCTTGGAACAGGATTCGATGCGACGAGATAACGAGGTATCCCTCCTGCGACTGGAAGATGCCACAATACTCTATACATTATAGAGTGTCAGAAGCCAAGTCAAAATAATAACGAGGAAGCATTTATGCACTCACGACCATCCGTTGGATTCCGGAAGTCGTCCTCACCGAGCTGACGCAAAGTCAGCAGCATAATCGCATCGTCGAGAACTGGTTTTCCCGCCGAGGCGCGTGTCCTAATGGCTTCCATGGCGCATTCGTCGTCATTCGGTGTGTCCCGAAAGTTGCTCAAAAGCCCGGGGATAGGGCAAAGCCACGGGAATCGCGTCCAAAAGGCCGACAAGAAGAAGAACCAAATGCCGAAAGCCAAGCCCGAAAAGTAAGAGAGGGTGTCACGGTCGATGCTTGCAAGGGCAATCAATCCCATCGTCAACCAGGCGAAGACCCGCAAGGTGGAGGGAGGAGATCTCCAGAGCGCTAAATTTTTAGCCCGCTCATGCATGGCTGCGAGTTCATCCGCCCCCACTTGAACAGCTGTTGCCCCGTGACTGGTGGCAGCGTCTGGGGTCAAAGGTTTAGCCTGCTTGCTCTCTGACAGCACCGCAGTTTGTTTGGCGAGCAAGAGTCGATGCGCCCTTGTGAGCATCGAGTGTCGAAGGAGCTCTGGAGCAGGTGGGTGGTCGCGCATCTTGAGGAGCCAGAGCAACGGCACAACAATTGCGGCGTACGACAAGAGTTGAAATCTCCACAATATGAAGTAGGCCTGGACATCGCGAAAGGGGGATGCTTCGTTTACTGGATGAGTCTAGAAAAAGCTTCAAGTGCAAGACGCATACTCACGCTCATAACGACAAACGTCCTTTTCTTGCTCTTCCACATGGAGAGGTCACAAATGCCGCCCACGATGCCTCTATAAATCGGGAAAGCCGTGATGTAGAGTCGTTCATGCGTGTCCGTTCCGTCACGCTGAACCACTCTTTCGCTCTCAAGGGAGGCAGTGGCAGAAGGCTCAGTGTCGGGTCGGTCAAGACGAACAGGCGTGCTCGAGAAGATGGTGGTCGCAAATGCCGTGAGGGAGGCCAAGTAGTACCCCATGCGAATGAATGGTACGGTGCCATTGGGCTTGATGTGTTTCCACTCGTCTGCTGCTGGGAAGGCGGAGCCCTTGATCTCTGCTGGGTCCAGCACTTTTATTGCCTTCACCCGCTTGAGGTCCTTTAGCAAGTCCTTTCAGTCAGCCTTGGCAACGCGAAACAGAGGGACAGCCTATCGGGCTCACCTTTCCAAATGCGTGTAGGTAGCGGATGATGAGCAAGTCGTCCCAAGTTGAGGTTTTGACCCACTCATCGAGCTCGGCCTTGCGCAGCCGCAAGGTTTTGAGCTTGGATGGGGTAATGTCCACTTCCGGCGCTTCTTCTGGGATTGTCTCGATTGATATGTCTTCCTCCTTGACAAAGCCTCGGCGGGTACGGCAAGCCGTACCCTGCGATATGTCACTGTCACTTTGAGAACGCAACGCTGGTAGTTGCGCCTTCTCGATAGGGATCGTCCGATTCGAGATGATGCCCGCAGGGTCCATCGATGCTATAGACAGGGTCCGACTCGTTTCGGCTAACACGTCCGCAAGAGCAGGCAGGGACTGGGACCACTCTGCCAAACCGTTGGCAAATGACGAGGTAACATCAGCACTTTGAGGTCGCTTTGTGGGGTAGCTCGGGGGCTGGTCTGCCAAAGCTGGCGGCGTAGTGGCTGTGCCTGTCGATCCAGCTGAGGACATGGCAGATGATTCAGCGAGCGAATCAAACATGTTCGCCATTTGTTCTCTGCGCGATGCAGCTATGGTCAGGGTGCGCGAAGGGATCGGGCGTGTGTGGTCTGCCGGTGATCGATGCAGCGCGTTGAAGGCGTAACTAACTGAGCCTTGATGACGTGTCCTTTTGGACTTGCTCCTTGTCAAAGGCTCCACGCCCGTTTTGCCGGCGAGAACTTTGCTAGCGCCGGATATACTTGCTAAGATCGATGTTTTGGTTGCTTTTGGATGCGACGGCGCAGAATCCTTGCTCTTCACGCTGCGCAGACTGGGAGAGCCGACGCGCGCATGTTCCTTTGATGCGACTGACTGCGCACTCCTGATGCTCCCGGCGCTCGAGTCTCTCATACCACTGATTGACTGCAATGTTTGGAATGGCCGAGGCGAGGGCGATCGTGGCCCGCCCACAAACTCTGGACTGATGGTCGGATACACGGTAGGACTGTCCGCGACCAGCATGGGCATTGCTATGCTCATCTTGGGCATCCCGGCAGGCGAATCACTCGAGGAGTGTCGTCGGTTCGATGTCGGTGTATACGATGTTGTATAAGATGTCGGTGGCGAAGCCGGCCGTGCGGTCTCTTGTGCGTGAGGCGGTGGTGATGTAGCGCGCTCTTCAAATCCAAGCAGAATTGGCTTTGGGGAGAATTGAGTTGAATGTGGTCGAGGAGGGAGTGGTTCATTGGGTGGCGGCGTGTTCAAGAGCAGTGAAGTGCGACGCGTAAATGAATTTAGAACGCCCGTGTTCGACAGCGAAATAACGCTGTTTCGGTTGCTGAGTTCACTGTCCAGTGGTGGCGAATTCGCATTGGATAAGCTCGATTGTCGTCGAAGACTCGGCTGGTGTTGCACCTCGGGCGTATCCGACACGTACGCAGAAGTCTCAACAGACTCGGTTGAAAGTCCCAGCGACAGAACTGCTTCCTCGGCATCCTCCTCATCTTCCGCAATAGCCTGGCGCCGTGCCGAGGTTCTCTTCGCGCTGTAGTCAATCATGCCGGAACGTCGCTTTTGCCCTTTGCCTTCCGTGGGTGTTATCGACTTCAATTCATCTGTTCCGCTAAAAGAACCCGAGGTCATCATGGGCGCAGCCGTCAAAGGCTCGGACAGCGGAGGCTTTCCGTTAGGTCGAGGCGGTAGCAAAGCGATGGCTGATTCCAGGCGTTCCTTTGAAAGGTCTGCATTACGAGCGTAGTCATTGCTCGGCGATTGGCTTGGAAGAGATGCGATTGGGCTTGAGAGCAGAATCGGATTCTTGGCGCGGGGGTTGAAGTCTTCGGATGGGGTTTCGAGCGTTGCAATGGAGAGCCTAAAGCCTCCGCTGCTGGATGCTGGCAGTCCACAGATGATCGGCTTGGGCATGCCGCCATTTGATTTGAGTGCATCGAGCGTGCTCCTGGCAGTAACCTGTTGCTGGGGCAGCGCCGCCATTGGATTGAAATCCAGACTGGACGAAGCTGTGCGCTTCTTGATACTTCCCACCCCGCCCGACGAGTCCACCTGATCGGCCCACACGACACTAGGGTGTCGCTTCCTCACCTCCTCTTTGTGCCTGTTAACCTCTTCCGTCTGGCGCACGATCGCGGCCTCCCACGCAGCAAGCTCCATACGCTGCTGCTCTGCTTCGCGATCATCTTCGGCTTCTTGATTGCCTCCTTTTCCAGCGGGTGTCAAGGGACTCTTGTCAGTAGAAACGTTCGTCCCTCGCCAAATCTCACTCTCGTCCTCGCTTCCATCATCACTGTAATTGCTTTCGCTCGGCTCTGGTGTCGCACCGTCACCTTTGATCAGGCTGATCATGGAGCCCTGTGGCGAGTGTGAATCATCGATGACTATCGGCGGCCGGGCTGCATGCCTGGGTGGCCGGGCTGGTGGTGGTGGCGAAGACATGCTTGCGCGAAGCACCGCTTCGGTCGAAGATTGCCACTCGCTGACGTCACTGCCGCTGTAGTTGGAACTCATTTTCGGTGATGATAATGATGTGTCTCCTGCTGGCAACGCAAGCTTCGGCAATGTTGGTGTTGCACGGCCGGAGCCTGGATTCGCGTCCGAGGAGGGCGCTTTCAGCAGTGTTATCTCCGTTTCCAAATTCTCCGACGCTTCTTCCTCGATTCCCTTTACCATTAGATATGATTCCATGCTCTGTTCTTGCTCCTGTCCTTGGCTCAAGTCCTTCCCTTGCGGCTGTGCTTGCTGAGCTGAGCGTGACCCGCCCCCAGCTCCAGCTCCGGCAGCCGTTTCCAACAGATGGTCAAATCCGTTGACCCTGTCGCGAGCAGAAGATGCGGAGGGCTTGCGGTGGCGTCTTCTGAGCACAGACGCAAACGGAGGTTTTTGGCCTGGGCTCAGAGAGCTGTTTGAAGAGAAGAGCAAGTCTGGGCCGATGCCTCCAGCAGAACCTATGATCGAAGATATCTCTGGTTTCTGGATGTTGGAACGTGGCACGACGAGCGTGAAGCTTGTCTGTTTCTTGTTTACGTAGTCTACGTTTGGACTAACGTACTCGTGTTCGAAGAGCCGCAAAATGGTCGGCCCACTGGCGTTGGAGGCAGCCTTAGAACTTGGAGCAGGAAGCGCAAACGGATCTTCGTAGTCTCTTGAGGATTCGAATGAGTCGATCGTCCCTACTTCAGTACCAGCATCCGAATGCTCGTCTGAGATACCTTCTTCTTCTAAGTCTTGTTGTTGTTGGCTTTCGCCTTCTTTCACTTCACTTCCGTCTGCTGTGGGTCCAGATTCCGCTTCTTGTCGGCTATCCGCAACGTTCGGTGCTTTTGCTCTTGCCGAAGCGTCCGCTGCTGAACGCGTGGGGAATAGTGGCTTTGGAAAATCCTCAAAGACAGCCCCGGACCCCCCGAGCGTGGGTTTGTCCCCAGCGTCGAGGCTGAAGCCAAGACTGTGCTTCGCCCCTGAGGACGCGGCACTGGAAAAAATCGATACGGCGCTGCTGCTCGTGGAAAAATGTGAGTCAACCGAAAAAGCGTCTTCGTCTTTGAGCTCGACTGGCAAAGATGACTCCTGCTGCTCGCTAGCGCTATCTCTTGGTGATGCGAGCGCTGTATAAACTGGTGCAGATGAAGATATGCTTGATATAGAATCTGGGAGCTTACCCGTCGCATTGACAGGTGATGCTTCTGCTGAATCTACCAGTGGGACTTCCTGTGTCTGTGGAGAGTAGAATGCCTCGGCAGCAGTAGATTGGGCGTTGGATGTAGGCGAAATAGGCGGATACCCCTGCGCTTTTGAGGCCACAGAGAAGGAAAGAGCTTCGGGTCTGCGGTTGATAGTGTGGACGATTGCAGGGTTGTTCACTTGCGAGGAAGATCCAGGCTGATTCCCCGGTGTCTCCTGCGCGACCTGCTTTGCGACTAAGTGCTCGTCCTGCTCCTGCTCTGAATGTGACGCTGCGTCAAGCTCGGTCTCTGTCCCTTCGCTCTTGGTGCCTGCTGTAGCACTGACGAGGGATGCGGCTGCTATGCAGCGGTCATCAGTGGCTATTGGCGAAGGATCCTCAGTTGATTCACTTCCTTCGTCCTCAACTCCAATGTGAAATCGTGAGCTCCTTTCTTCCGCGTTTGCTTCCTTCCCCTCCGACTCCAGGCTTTCGGCGACCTCGGGCCCTGATTCTGGCTCTTGGTTTGACAGCAAGGCCCCCTTTGGCGTATTCTTCGCTCTCGAAGCGAAAGCGCCAACCTCTGCTGTCTGAACCACTTCGAGCTTCGATGACGCTATCCCTTTATAAGCTGCTTCCTGGCCACCTTCAAGGTAGGCAGCTTGCTCTGCTACGCTCTCGGACCGGCCTGCTACTGCAATCGAAATAATGGCAGCTTCGGGCGCTTGACGAGGTGGGGACGGCTCTCTCTGGGCCGCCGCTGATGACGCGTCGGTTACTGTTGAGGCTGGAGCTTGACCTGGCCCAGCAAGCGAAGTTACCTGCTGGACGGAAAGTAATGACGTTTCAGGTGTCACTGGGATCGAATTCTGGGCAGTCGTGGAAAGTGATGCGGCTGGTTTCAGTGGGGCGGAAAGAGATAGTGAAGAAGCGAGAGGCCTGCTGACCGGCGCTTTGGTGAAGCGAGCGGTAAGCGAGCGTGCTACGGGCGTAAGTGCCGCGCTGGTGGGTTGCACCTGCTGCTGATGCTTGGAAGGTGTCCCATTGGATGAAGATGTTGCTGGGCCTGGACCGGCAGATGGAGCAGCTGCGAGATCCCACTTGGCAGTAAGAGAACGGCCAGCGCTCATGTCGTGGGTGCTTGTAATTGATGACCTTGTATTTGTAGGAGCAGGATGTGTCTTTATATCTCAGTCGTGGCTTGGTATCATTGACCACTTGGTATCAACAGCAGAGCTCCATCGCGAACTAGTGCTTGGATTAGATGACCCGACTGCCCTGACGGCACCCCTTAGAGCAACGAGTAACAGGCGTTGCACCCGCTGCACTGGCCGATTATCATGCGTATATCAGTGCGGAAGCCCCAGTCTTGCTCGGTGTAAGCAACTTCCGACTTGCGTACACACTCTTTCCTGTGCAGCAGGACAAATCAGCAAGCTTGGCTTCTACCGGCGACGCTGCGCTCTGTGGGCCACAGGGGGTATCGGCGGTGACTTTGCTGCCATGGGCAAATGGCGCCATTGCCCTGGGGACAAGCACAACTTCTGAGGTATATGCAGCAACGAGGGTACCAAGCTGGACGCTGGACGCGCCTCGAAATTTTACCAGAGCATCCCAGTAGAGAAGGACAGCTCCCGTATGCTGCAAGGTGAGATGATCTATACATTGCTTGCGGCTTGGTCCTCTTGCTCCTCCCTCACCGAGGTCTCTCACACACATTTCCCTCCTGGTCATTTTCTGCGGGGTTCGGTCATGTGGCGGCGGCTGCAGCGGTGCGACTTGAGGCTGCGGCCAGAGAAAACTGCGCGAGCCAAGGCACGGAATCGGAAAGATGCAACCCTAGCCCTACAGAAGGAATAAAGGGCTATCGACCAAGTCTCACAACGCTCAAACGCACCTTTGACCAGCGGCTCCTCGTCAGTTGGACCCACCCACATCTGCACATTTCGTCAAGTTTTGACGGTCGTCGATCTGTGCTCAGCACGTACCACGCTGCCTCGCTGCTGGGCACTACTTCTTTTCATTCTTGGCTAGAAAAGCCGGTGAGCTTGTATGTGCGAGGATCGAGTACATGCCACGTGCGGATGATGCTACAATGGTTGCGTCTGCCGCGACCGTCGGACATGTCCTTGGCCACCTGCGATTCAGAAATCAAAGCTGCCAAAGTCGAAGGACTGTGCAGCCTGGTGTTGCTGATCATTCGCAGCCGCCTTCATAAGATTTGCAAACCCCTTAGGTTTGGGCGCGCCTTCTCCGCCTGTAGCAGCAGCATCAGAGGCGAGCGCTGCTGATTTGGCGGGTAATGGGTTCGTTGCCGCCGTGAGGTGAATTGGTGCCTCTTCCGGCTCGTCGAACAGCGCATTCATGGATCCCTTCTTACTTTTCTCCACTTGAGCTGTTGTAACAGCTGCTGATGCTGATTTGGATCCAAGCACAGCCGCACTGTCGCCGATTTCATTGACAAGCAGGCTTGAGCGACGGCGTGACATCAGCTTTGAATTTGTCGACGGCTCTTTGACAATATGGCTAATGTCGGGTCGGTCAAAGACCCAATCTCTGAGCAGCAAGAGACCTAACATGTGACAGCCTGTAAAAGCTCCCGAGTCAGTGATTTTCTTTATAAGACCGCGTGTGCGCGAAGTAAGTTATCTGAAGCCCACCTAGCCTGCCGAGCACATGGTTCGCATACAGAACAAAGCGCCATTCTTGGTCGACGGGTATTCTTGCAAGTCCGAGAGCCGTTTGCGCAGTTTTGCCTTTCAGGTCAGCAAGCAAAAGAGCCAGCGAGGCGTCGCCGTAGTATCCAAAAGCACAGTGCTCCACAGTTCCCATCAACTGAGCGACCTCGGCGTCTGCGAGCAGCTCGGGGAAAGGCGTGACAATCACTTGTACAGCGAGGTCCCTTCGATTTAGCATCCAGAAAGCCCAACTCGCAAGGCAGCGATTGCCTGTTTCGAATGCTAAGGGAAGCACGCGGTCCTTCAAAAGCTCCAAAAGGATGGGCCCGTCACTGCGTCCCTCGCGAATGCGACAGAGAGCGATGGCGAGCTGCACGTCGTTAAGATAACGCACACATACGTTCACTGCATCTTTGAGGCTGTCCGCAAGCATGAAAAATGTCGCTGCAAACTCTATCCTCCGAAGCAATCCGTATCAGCATTGCGGGCGAAGCGCCTGTCCTCAGCGCTCCGTCAGAACTTACCGAATCGACGCTGGCTCAGCAGCACAAATGCATTCTTGAGTGCTGCTGCTTTCCATCGGTCTTCCGTAAAGTTATTTGCCAGAAAAGCGATCATCTTCCTCTGCTCCGGGTGCCAGACAGCTTGCCTCCACAGGCTGTGCACAAGCTTTTGCTTGCCCAGCGCAAAATAGAGCAGCGAGCACGAGACCGGATCTCTGTCTTCGCCTGCCATAAACTGACTTCTAGCCACATTCTCCGCCTGTGATCGCAGCGAGTCCTGCGATCCAAGCCACATGAAGAGACCAGTTGCCTTCGCTGCTGGCCATGTCACCTTGCCCTGGAAGAGCGAATCGACTGCACTGACGATCATTTCTTGAGTCTCACTGTGGAAAGCCCATAGAATATCGCGATGATCGAGATAATGCTCTCCTGGAATGTCTGTACCCGCTCGTGCAGCAAAATCTCGCAGCGCAACCAAGTATCGCACCCCGCTGCTGTCGAGTGCACCTTTCTGCTCGTCGACTTCGAGCGTGACTCGGGCCATTCGTTTTAGGTTTATTTGCTCTGAACCGTCCAGGTCGCTGAGCAATGACGAGGGTAGCCGGTCTTGAAGATCTTCGATGTGAGCCTCCGTTAAGTCGCTCGAGTGGCTGTCCTGCTGGTCCACATTCGCGAAAAGTGAGTTGTGCGCCATATAGGCCGAACTCTTCGATTCGCTGGTGCCCGTGAAGTCTTGTTCCCCCTTTCGGTAGGCGAGAAGGTCTACTTCTTGAACAGAAAATACGTCTCCCGCCGTCGTATGTCTGAGCGCCGAGTGCAAGTGGAGTATGATGGTTTTGGCGACGTCGACGTACCCCCAAAGAAGGCATTGTTGTAGAAAGTCTGGATGATACTGGCGGACCGGCCCATTGGTGCGAGCCGCAAGCTCTTGTAGATGTGCACGCTGCCGGTGACCATCTGTCGAAATTGGAGAGAAACTTCGAATGATGTTGGCAGACGCTACGCAAATGTAGTCGGCCTTTGCGAACGAGAGGCTATCTATGCGCGGGCACCAAGCATGGCAATGCAGTTTCCCGATCCGCTGCCAGCCGTTCAAGACCCTGCTCCCGCGATCGCTATCGTAACGCCAGCGAGATGCAGTCAAGATTTCGATATGGGTGTCGAGAGCGAGCGCCAGCACTGTGCATTCAGCGTTCCACGACAAGGAGATAACTGGAGCTTTCATAGTCTCGCAGTGCTCCATGCCATCAGAGAACTCGCTGCTCTTGGAATCCCAGATGAGCAGCACGTTTGCTCCAGTTTTCGTGTCAATTCCGGTCAGTGCCACTTTTCCATTTCGAGAAATCTGTATGGCTGCGTCTCTTTTTCCATGAACTTGATGACTGGAAAGTTGTACCCACCGCGCCGCCGATGTATCAAGACTTACCCATGCGACGAGTGTCTCATTGCCCAAGAGTGCGCAGCATAAAAGGGTTGCACCATCTTGAATCAATCCGGCGCAGGCAACTCGTGAGGATGGGTCCATGGGCAGCATTCCACGAGCTTTCGCATGTTCACCTTCTTTGACGAAAAGACAGTGTCCGTCGTTCCGAATGCCCAACACGCCTTCTTCGTGGGGCGAGCCGATGCTAAGCAGTGCGACTACATGGGCTGCATCGTGCTCTCGGGCCACCTTGTCTGAGTGCAGACGGTCGTGTACGAAAATCCCATCAGAGCTGCTGCACACCAGACTGTCATGTAAAGTAGCCAGTGCGATCGGCATTTGAGGGACCTGCACGGCCCCGGTGAGCTGGCACAGTTTGCCTGAAGCGTCGATGCTCCAACGAATCACCTCGCAAGCCGAGCTGCAAGTTTCAGCTAGGGATAACAACTCGCCGGACCTTGCAGTTGTCAGGCTAGTGATGCGTCTGCGATGTCCCTGGCGTGATGGCTTGTTCTCAATGGCAGAGCAGGCGACGCGCAGTCCGCTGTCGTGGCCATCGAATAAAAGCTCTGGACTGATTAATGCTGTTGAGCAGGCGCCAATTTCAGATACTAGGGTCATGGCGGCACTTGGATACGATGGGTACGGAATGTGAGAGTGAGCGACAGTGCCTGTTGGAATGAGAGGTGTGAAAGAGAGTGGTTGGGCTAATGCCATCCATTTTGCAAGTAAGCTGGAGCGATGGTGTATTTTAAGAGCAGTGAAACTTTGAACGAGACTCGGAGGTGTGCGATCAACATTCTGGGCGTTTGTAATCGTTCAGCTAGTCTTATTTGCAACTGAAATGGCACCCATACTCACGGCGGTGCCCCTGACCACGATCTCGCCATCTTCTTGAATTCTCATGAACATGTCTGGAGTGTCCTGCATAAAGTGCTCAAGGCGCCGGACCCTCGTCCGCAGGAGATCCTTGCGTTTTTCCTGCTCCACATCCCTTTCCACAGCAGGAAAGGTGCGGGTATCATTCGTATGTGCACTTGTGCCGATGCCAAGCTCGAGCATCTGCAGCTCTTGCTGCATGTGTTGTAAGGAGACGTTGCAGGCAATAGAAAGGTCTCCTGCGTCGAAGTAGATTGTTGAGCCTCGCTTCTTCTTTGTCGGCTCCACGTTCGAAATACCTTCCGAAAGGCCAAAGGAGCCTTCGTCGACAGATGCCCACAGCCGAAATTTGGACGGCTGATCGATGACGGGCGAATAAATTCGGCAGACACCCTCACGTGTTCGTACCACAAGTACTTCACATCTTTGGACGGAAGTGGGGGCTCCATCAGTTAACAGGGTCGGTGATCGACGCCAGTGGATGGAGGTGATCTTGCGTGGGAGGACCAGGCGGTCAAGCACGAACGGAATTCCGAGCTTTTCTAGCTTTTGAGTGGCAGTGGCCATGCCCCATATCAAGACCCTTCGATCATGATTCAAGCATGCAGCAAAATGAGCACCATCTGGTGACCACAGAGCAGAAGCTATTATTTTACCGGCAGGCGCTTTGCAGCCCCATAACTTTTTCCACACACGTGAACCTTCATTCAAGGTCCACACGGAGAGTCCATGGGTGGTGCCAACAAGAACCTTGCCACGATGCATGGATAGCGAAAGGACTTCCAGCGGATGCGTATTTGTACCTTCCTCAGGGACTGTCCATGTTGAATGGACAGTCCATCTGCGAACACCTTTTGCGGGTGACGTGCTGTGCCATACACCGATGTGTTTTCCTTGCGAGGCCACCGTCTGCAAAATGCCAGATGGATGCGATCAGACACAAGTTACCACCGATGCAGTCGTACGGGGCGCACATACTAAGACTTCTGAGGACATTGATTCAGGCTGCCCCAGGGCCACACAGCGCACAAGCATGTCGCGTGACCTTGTCCACGCCTCTTCAGCGAATGCGCTGGTAAACGAAACAGCGGATTCGATTTCATGATTGTTCGAGTCGATGAATTGGATGCGATCCGCACGAGCATGAGCAATTATAACCTCCCTTTCATGGGTTAAGACCAGATGAGACGTTGCATGACCGTACCCGATCAGATGGCTGGGCTCTAAGCCACCAGGATAGGTGAACGCCAAAGGGAGTGTCGGTAACACGATGGATGGAGTCTCCATTGTCTCTCAGTGCGATGCGGCTGCGCATAGCTTGTTTCACCAAAGGCGAGAATATGTCGCCGATATTCGCCTGACAGATGAGCCAATGCCTGGTGTCTGGAGCAAATGGTGAGGATCAACCACTAGATTCCATGGATGAGAGGTAAGCATGAGTTCCTTATGGCGACTATGAGTTGCTGTGCTTAAAAAGGAATGATGTAATTAGCGATGCCGCCGCCACCACAAAATGGCAAGAAAGATTCAATTTCCTCGATTTCTGGCTTTGCCCGAATATCTCAATCTCTCACTAGTCATCCTGATCATCAGGCCGAAACTTTCTTTGCTGCCATTCGAAGTCTTTCATTTGTACAGCTGAGGCCATCATACAGCGTCACTTTTCAGACCTTACCGAAGCACTGATTGCGACTCACATTCAGGGCAGACAGCAACGCTGGCGCTCAATTTTGGCGGTCGAGCTACAGGGCCTGCTGCGCTTTGGCAACGCCTAGTGACGCATCCCAGTTCAGTGGCATTGTCTGCAACAGCCTGCCTTCACAGGATGGCGGCTCCTGGTGCTGGTGCGGGTGCGGGCAAAAAACAAACAAATTCCTTCTCGACCAAACCCTTGTATGCATTTGACCTCCCGCTACGGGTCCTTCAACATCTGGAGGTCTGCGAGAGTCTTTCTCCACTTGTGTCGACATATTCATATGCAGCAGCGGGTCGACAGTCGAGCAAGATATCGAGAGAGAGCTCGGACGGTGCAGACGGCACCTCTTGTCATGTATGCCCTCATTCAGGGAGGTTCCCTTCGGTTGAAGAGCAGCGGGCGCACTTTCGTGGGGATTGGCACCGATTCAACGTTCAGCTGAGCCTGTCTGGCAATGCAGATAAAGTGATGTCCGAGGCCGCCTTTGAGCGCGCTACTGAAGGTAAAGTTAGAGTCGTTGGGAGTGCACTCCCTTCAAATAATATACTGACGCGTATGCATTATAGACCTTGATACCGCATCAGAAGATGATGCGTCTGGGGGAGAGGCAGACGAACTTCAACACGCCGAACACCTCGACACCGTCGCCCGGCTTCTCGCCACTCTTTCGACGAATGGCAATGGATCTGCTTCCGATACGGAGAACGATACCTATGATCGCGACCCGAGGCGTACGCTTGACTCGTCCGACTCTACCCGCATTTGGTTCGAGTCAGGGCCCTCTGCGCCGCAGGATGCCGCTTTACCGAGCATGCAGCTAGGCGTCCATCGTGCGCTCTTCCCAGATCTTTTAGAGGAGGAAGCTCCTCAGGGGTACCTGCAACAAAGCTTGCGCGATATGCACGCTGGCAGACTTTCACGTCGGCCTGGGCAAGGAACAGGATGGGTAGGCAAACGTCTGAAGAGCGGCAATGCCGCAGATGTTGGGCGTAGCATGCAGATGAATATTCTCGATGGAGAAGGCTATGTCCCGCACTTACAGCTCAAAAGCAAAGAAGAGGCTGTGGACGAAGATGTCGATAGTGGTCTCTCCACCGCCGCAAGCGACAGTGAAGACGGAGATCCAAGGTCTCTAGCGTTGCCTTCAAACCCAGGAGCGGATCCACCTCTGCGCATGTGGACGGTCCTGATGATGGGGGGCGGACATTTTGCTGCAGCTGTTATCGCGCTCAACCCACACGTTGTCATAACGCACTCCAAGAAGAAAGGCACTGTTGAAGAACACAGTCTCATCGTTCTCGCGCATCGCACTTTCCATCGCTACACTACCCGTCGCAAACAAGGAGGAAGTCAGTCGGCTCAAGATGCAAGTGGAAAATTTGCAAAAAGCGCGGGTGCCCAGCTGCGTAGGTACGGCGAGGAGAGTCTGAAGGAAGAGATTAAGCAGATGCTTGATCTTCCCGGATGGCGTTCGCTGATCGAGCGCAGCGAGCGTGTCTGGGTCCGAGCTGGGAAGCGCTCTGCGAAAGGAACCTTGTGGCAGTGGGAGGGCCGGGGTAAGGCAAGCCCACTTGATGCAGCGCGGACCGACGGCCGATTGCTCAGCCTGCCGATTCAGACAAGACGACCCAATTTGGCGGAAGTTCTGCGATGTTTCTTTGAGCTCTCACGGGTACGCGTGTCACACTTTTCACCCGAAGGACTCGAGCTGAAGGTTGCAGAAAGGCAAGCCGCCGATGTAGAGCAAAAACAACGGTCCGCTCGCAAGCGGGCGGCGCAAGAAGCGAGGCGTTCAAAGGCCACACAAAGGTTGGAAGTGAAGTCTGCCGCGCGGAGAGAGCGAGAAGCTTTGACTGAGCAAGAAAGATCGCAGCGACTGCGTTTCGAGCGCTTGGCCGAGATGGTAGTCAAGGGCCGCGTGGAGTCTCTCGCCAACTTTATCGAAAAATACGGATTCTCCGTGCTCGATTCATCGGAGGGACAAGCGATGAGTGTTGATAGCCTGTTGCCTCGCTGGTGGCGGATGCAGCAAGCAGAGGGCTCGAAACGAAGCAGCACGCCTTTGATTCCCAGCACGCTACTCCAATTGGCTGCCGAGGGTGGTGATCCGGATATGGTGCGGTTCCTTCTTGTTGAGAAACACGCCGACCCAACCCGACCGGTGCTACCTCCACCTTTCCCAAGCAACAATGACGACGATATTGAGCCGTCAGCTCCTCACCGGGCTGCGTACGATCTTTGCAGTACGAAAGCAGCGCGCGAAATATTCCGGCGTCTGATGGCTGAGCAGCCGGGATGGTGGAACTGGGCCGGCACCACTGCTGGTGGAGCCAGGGTGCCATCCGCGCTGACGGAGGAGATGGCCGATGCCAAGGCGGCCAAAGTGAAAGACCGACGCGCTGCCCTCCGCGAGAAGGCGAGGGAAAGAGCGGCAAGGGAAGGCACTGAAGTGCCGTTTTCGGATACCACAACTATTGAGCCGCAGGGGCAGCCAACTGTTGCAGCAGGTGCTGCGTGTAGCTCGCTTCGAGCCAACGTGCTAGGCGGTAAAAACCAAGCCTCGCGGATACTGAAGGGCATGCTGGACGAGTCGAGCATGACGCCTGAAATACGCACTCGGATCGAGCGGGAAAAGCGGGCGCGTGCTGCCGAAGAGCGCATAAAGCAGCAGCAGCAGGCTCCTTGAACGTAATTGCGACATGTATGTGCTTTGGTTCAAGTGAACATCGACCATGTACCTTCTTAGGGTTAGGGCTAGGGTCTTTGTTCATCAGTGCGCACATCGTGTCTATTTATACGTGTCTGTGCGGCTCTCGGTCAGGATGTCATGAAGGCGAAGGTGTCAACTCGAGTGTGCGGAAGGGAATACTAATAGCATCAGATAACATGGAGATTTGCACACGTCAGCGCTTGACTTTCGGCGATATGTTAAAGGCTCTGGGAGGTCGGCTTCTCTCCTATTGATCACCCAGCCCTCTCTTAACTTCTGAATGAGCTGCACCGGGTCCTGGAACCCTTTTTCCCACGCTAGATCCGAATGAAGGTTACCCGAAGTCCCGACGACGGCCGTATCAGAACGACTCTGAGTGAGAAAGGCACAGGCTTAGCTGTACGCTGCTTGAGTTCCATGTCTACGTACCAGGCACACGGGAGGATGGAAGTTGGGTCAGGTACCGAGCCTGCATGTACGCTCCACACTGCCGCTTTTAATCCCCGATCCTCAACGCTTGAATGTAAGCGAGCACACCGCCAGGGCCGAGAAGAATAGCACCGTAGCTCAATGCTATGCGCCCGTTTCCTCGATATTTTCTCTTCTGTGAGCATAAGTGACTAGTGATTACCAATCCTTCAGTCATCTTCAACGCCTGTGCAGCCGTGCAGCCGGTACTGAAGGAAAGTGTCACCCTCACAAGGCCTGTTATGGTGCCATGCCTCAATGTCCAGCAATCATGAGCCAAGGCAGAAAAATATCAAACTGTCAGCCAGTCAGATCACGCAGGCTGCCGTGACTACTCTTTGTAAGAGACTGAACACTGAAGTGGGCTTGCGGATGTGAGATTAAAAGGTCAAAAAACTGCAAGGCTGTGAGCCTGTGGTGACAGAGGTGTCGCATAGAGGAAAAGCGCAGCTCGAGAAAATTGCTGAGTGTAGACGAAGGTCACGTCAAGTGGGAGTTGTACTGGTCCACAATGGTGTCGTGGAGCAGAACTTTATTCTCTCGCACGTTTGTCGAAGAAGACCGGACGACGCTACGATTCGGTCGGAGCCGAGAA